GTTTTCTTTTCTTTTTCCCCTAACTCTATCTTAGTCGAACTTGATACACAATGGCCGACACAGTAGGAAAGGTAAACCCTCCCCCTATCCACCCTGCACCTGGATCGCCTGGTTCAGTCAAGTCATATCTGAGTCTTACTCGATTGATTGTTTTCGTTATTATCATGAACATATTCGCTAACTGAATTCCTAGACCATCACTTGCAAGGTGAGCTCGATCCGACCACCCCGCTATGACGACACAACCCTCCGGAACTAACTGAAGCTCAGGCTGCGATTGCCTGGGAAGCTGGCAAGCCTCTGTCCGTTGAGGACATCGAGGTCGCTCCCCCCAAGGCTGGTGAAGTGCGCATTAAAATTAACCACACTGGTGTCTGCCATACCGGTAAGCCCCGACCCCCGCCAGCCCCGCCAAACGCGGCATACGGACCGTTCCCGGGCAACGAGAGCTAACACACCATAGATGCCTACACTCTCTCCGGCAAGGATCCCGAGGGTGCCTTCCCCGTCGTCCTCGGTCACGAGGGTGCCGGTACCGTCGAGTCTGTTGGCGAGGGCGTGACCTCCGTCAAGGTTGGCGACTACGTTATCGCGCTCTAGTATGCACTCCCCGATCTCGGCTCCGACCGGAACTCCAACTGATCATCCCTGTAGCACTCCCGAATGCCGCGAATGCAAGTTCTGCAAGTCCGGCAAGACTAACCTCTGTGGGAAGATCCGTGCCACGCAGGGTAAGGGTGTCATGCCCGATGGCACCTCCCGCTTCAGGGCCCGCGGCAAGGACCTCCTCCACTTCATGGGTACCTCCACCTTCTCTCAGTACACAGTCGTCGCCGATATCTCCGTCGTTGCTGTCACTCCTAAGATCCCTACCGACCGGTCCTGCCTTCTTGGCTGCGGTATCACAACCGGTTACGGTGCCGCTGTCGAGACCGCCAAGGTCGAGGAGGGCTCCAACGTCGCTGTCTTTGGTGTCGGTTGTGTCGGTCTCTCTGTTTTGCAGGGTGCTGTCAAGAACAAGGCTGGCAAGATCATTGCTGTCGATGTTAACGATGGCAAGGAGGAGTGGGCTCGCAAGTTCGGCGCTACTGACTTCGTCAACCCCACCAAGCTCCAGGGCAAGACTATCCAGGAGCACCTGATTGAGATGACTGACGGTGGTTGCGACTACACCTTCGACTGCACTGGCAACGTCGGTGTCATGCGTGCTGCCCTCGAAGCCTGCCACAAGGGTTGGGGTGAGAGCATTGTCATTGGTGTTGCTGCTGCTGGCCAGGAGATCTCCACTCGGCGTAAGTTGTACCCTCTCGTCTGCATTGAATATTGTCTAACAGGTTGCAGCATTCCAGCTTGTTACCGGCCGTGTCTGGAAGGGATGTGCCTTTGGTGGTATCAAGGGTCGCACCCAGCTGCCCGGTCTCGTCGACGACTACCTGAACGGCAAGCTCAAGGTGGACGAGTTCATCACTCACCGCCAGCCTCTGGACGGCATCAACAAAGCCTTCGACCAGATGAAGGAGGGTGACTGTGTCCGTTGCGTCGTTGACATGAAATAGACGACTTTGGAGATTAAAAGAAATGTGAAATATGACTTAATCATGAAGTGTTCATATGTACAGAGTAGTAGATGGGTGAGAGGTTCCTTTGTAGGTGAACATCCCAAGGTCCCCAGCCCCGCAGGCACCTTGAGGACTACAGATGACGTGAGGATCAAATATTATATATGCAGGTCAATGGCAATTCCAAAAAAGATCATTATTCGTGTCAATCTCGCACGAACATTTGTAGTCAATCCATCTCATAGATACACTTCACGGAGAGAGTCCGAGACTCCCCCACCTCAATTGACGCAAAGATACGATAAGAAGGCCGATTTCGGGTCTATCTCGGAGTCTCTGATAGGTGAAATTAGGGTTTTCCCCTGACATGATAGCCTGAGAGGGGAATATCAATCCACATCGGATTCCGTGCCCGCGGGAATCGCCGCGGCGTTGAAGTATAGATCTGTATAAAGATGGCCATGCATCCAAGATGCAGATTGAATTGATTATTGATTCACCTCTACTTTTTGAATACAAATTACATATCTATACCATGTCCAACCTCACTCTCCCCGAACCCTTCGCCTCCATCCCCCGGTCTTCCCTCCTCCTCGGCCCCTCGCCAATCCACCCCCTCCCCCGCATCAGTGCCGACTTGGCCAAGACCTCCCCCCACCATGTCGCCATCTACGCCAAGCGCGATGATCTGAATTCCGCGTATGCGTATGGCGGCAACAAGACTCGCAAGTTAGAGTATCTCCTCGCTGATGCCCAAGCTCAGGGATGCGACACGCTTGTTTCTATCGGTGGTGTGCAGAGTAACCATACGCGTCAGGTGGCTGCTGTTGCTGCGCGCTCCGGGATGAAGGCGAGACTTGTCCAGGAGCATTGGGTTGATTGGGTTGATCCGGGTTATGAGACTACGGGTAATATTCAATTGTCCAAGCTTATGGGCGCCGATGTTAGGCTTGATCCGTCCACTTTTGGGATTGAGCATAAGTCGACTGCGCAGGCTGTTGTTGAGGAGTCCAAGGCCAAGGGGGAGAAGCCTTATTATATTCCTGCTGGGGCTTCGGATCATCCGCTTGGTGGATTGGGCTTTGCGCGCTGGGCTTTGGAGGTTCGTGAGCAGGAGCAGGAGCAGGGGATCTTCTTTGATACTGTGTTGGTGTGTGCTGTGACTGGCTCGACCTTTGCTGGTATGATTGCTGGGTTTAAGCTGCTTGAGCGCTTGCACCCTGAAGACCCGAAGCGCAAGGTTATTGGTATTGATGCGTCGGCTACGGTTGAGGCTACTCGTGCCCAGGTGCTGCGCATTGCCAAGAACACTGCTTCCAAGATTGGTCTCACTGCGGAGGATATCACGGATGAGGATATCATTCTTGATGACCGGTACCACGCTGGTATCTATGGTATTCCTGATCGCCAGACTTGGGATGCTATTGAGTATGCTGCTCGCATGGAAGCATTCATTACCGACCCGGTATACGAGGGCAAGAGCTTTGCCGGCATGGTGGATATGATTCGACGTGGTGAGATCAAGGCCGGCAACATCCTTTACGCGCACCTTGGCGGGCAATTGGCCCTTAATGCATACTCGGAGCTTGGCCGGACCAGCGAGTAGACTATGATATAGAGCAAGAAATTTATGTTTATAGGAATGAATTTAGCGATAGTATATTATGTTTGCATTCAAGGAGTGACTATAGTTAGACCGTAAGCGATAACTAGGTTGGGTTCTAGGATTCTAGAACAGCTTGTGCTCAAGAGTCATCTCCGACTCGGGCTGGAGGCCAACACAGGCACGGAAGATGTTGATGAGAGCAGAGCGCTGCTTGCCCAAAGCGTTGACCACGGGGGTACCAGGGGGAGTCAGAGGGGCCTTGAGCATGTAGCTGAGCACGCTCAGCACGCTGTGGAAGCCCTTGTAGTCGGCACCCTCGCTGTCAGCCTGCCAGCTGATACGGGTCATCATCTCGGCGAGCACGACAAGATCGATGATCAGGGGCGAGGCCAGCAGCGAGTCCTCACAGATGTTGAACAAGCTGATGGTCTGGTGGCCACCCATGAAGATCTCGGCGTAGTACTCATCCAGGGCACGCTTGTTGTCTCCAACAGCAGGCATGTACTTGATGACAACAGTGTGATCGGGGTGCTCATCCTTTTCGTACAGGATGTGGTTGGCCGCAACCATGTCATCCACAACGTTGGACTTGGAGATTTCCTTGGAGCGGAACTGCTTCTGGGAGCTCAAGTTCTTGCCGTCGTTGTTGCCCAGGTGGTTGTAACTGGCAATGGAGGTGAGCTTGATACCGGCGTTGATCAGGAAGTCAACCAGAGCCGACTTCATCTTGGTCTGGCCAGACTTGAAGTCATCACCACCGATGAAAGCACGACGCTGCTCGGCCAGCTGGAGGGCACCGGGAACAAAGGTGTTCTGGGGCGAGCCGTTGATGAACGGAGTGTTCTCGAGGATCGAGGCCACAGCGAACACAGTTGAAGGAGCAACCTCCAGGTGACCAGCCTTGATCGAGTTGATCAGGTTGTCGGCAGTATCGTTGACACCGGGGATGATGTCGGCGTAACGCTCAGTGTTGGCGGTCCACATGACAATCACCTTGTCCAAGCCATTCTGGGCCTTGAAGTCGCTGTAATTCACGTTAGCGGGATTCAATGCATTCTAATTCAAACCACATACCGAATATCCTGCTGGATTTTCTCAACGTGAGCCCAGCAAGCCTTGTCACCCTCGAGGACATTGTCGGCGCGATCCTCCTGGTTGGCGGCGATGAAGTCGGGGTAGTAAATACTAGGCAGCGGCTTCATCTCGGCCATCTCCTTGCGGACCAAGTTCTTGAGGGTGGGCTCCAGCACCTGGGCCCGGTCCATGGACTCGGACAGGTTCAGGCTGCTGATGTCCCAACCACCAATGGCGAGGTCATTGGGGTGGACCATGGGAAGCAGGTCGTGGAAGGGGATGTTGATCTCCTCACCGGTCTTGGCGTCAGAGCCCAGCTTGACAGTGGAGCTCATGACGATGGAACCGTAGTAGTTGGAGGTCTGTTTCCCCTCCCGGGTTTCCCACGAGAGGTTACGGCGGTTGGCCAAGATACCGGCAGTGACGGTGGAACCGTTGTTTCCACCCCAACCGACCAGCATCATGCCGACCTTGCCCACCTTGCGGTCAACCTTGAAGTTGTAGTTGGTGGCCTTGGGGACCGCCACCAGCTTGTTGTCCGCAGTGCGGGTGATCTCAGTCGTCTGGTAGGCGTACCGACTCTTGATCTCGTCTGGGGTATAGACGACGTTGGGCGACTGGACCGTAAACAGAGGGGAAGGTTCTTGGCGAGCCGACCCGTTCAGGGCGCCATGGGCAACATCCGAGCTAGCGTGAGGAGCCATTGCGTTCACAGTAAAGCGGGATGAATTGAGAGTGTAGGATGTGATAGCGCTGTAGCTTTAACGGACGAAGGGTGCTGCGTCCGATGCTCCTCCACGGTTGGATGAGCGTCGGCCGTTGAACGGGTGGTGCCGCCTGTTTAGAGGTTAGCCACTGGTCTCATAGGAGGATTGGATCCCTTGGGATCCGAAAGAGACTCACGAGTTAAGACTTGTGGCGAAAATTGTGGCGGTTGTATGTGACCACTGTCTCTACGAGAAGTGATCTGACCTGCTGACAAGGTTTATACGAACCTAAGATAAACGAAAAGAAGTATGAAGTGGATGGAGAGAGAGAGAGAGAAAGAAGAAAGTGGAAAGGGAGGATTTATATGGGACGACACGTGCCCGGGGAACGGGGCCCCGGTTTCCCCTTTTTGTTTTTAATCTTTTTGATCTTGGTCCTTTTTGGTCATTTAGTTTTCGTCTATTTAACCCTAATCTCTTTCTCCCGAGTCCATAGTGCTTTGTTCACCGTGTACTCCCGAACCTGCCTGCATAATCGGCAATGGTCTGATCTTCTCATTGTGCCGAACCACTGCCGCTGAGGGTTCCGCTTCCGGGCATCCGGGAATCTCTGGTGCCTGGCCCCTTTCTCTACTGTATGCTTAGTCTGTGGTGTTAAACTCCTCGTTTTCACTGTAATTGACGTTGCCTTACACATCATATTCCCAATAATAAATGTCCAGGCAATTGATACATGATCACCCCAGATCGACTGACAGCTGGACCGTGCAGTCGGAGGGGCACGCGGGGCATAAATGGCGGTGAGGTAACCCCTGAGCGCTCGGTCCCACAGGCACACTCGGCTATACATTTTAATACCATTTTATATGGTTTCTTGTGCGTCGTGGAGATAATATATTACGGTGTGTTCAGAACATTGGGGACCTTGGGGACTAAACCCACTTACAATTCAACTATAACGTTAATGGGTAAACATTGAAGTATAGTTTCATTAGAAACCCAGGTCTGTGCTACGTGCTGCTGCAATCGATGTTATATGTTAAGCTCCTGTAATATCTATACAAGCTTAATCGACGATCAACTAAGCACTCACTCTAGAATGTGCCTGCATACTACCGGCTCGATGACCCCATATCCTCAATATGCTCCTCGGTAGGATCTTTCGCTGGAGTCGTCTTGATACCAACTCGCTCGGCCAAGTGGCTTTCAATTCCAAAGAGTCGAGACATTTCCTCGAGGGTCCGGCCGCGTGTTTCAACTGCACATCATTAGCCAATATACCAGAGAGCTGGAGAATGAACGAACCCATGGCATATCGGACAAAGAAGAATGCGATGACGCAAATCCCTGAGTAGATGATGTACAACCCCCAGCCGATAGCATCGGCAATAGGTGGACTCGCCTGGGCAACAATATAGCATGCTGTCCACAATGAAGCTGTGGTCAAGGCATTTCCCTTGGCTCGCATGGAGACAGGGAAAATCTCAGCTGCGTAAGTCCAAGATCCGACACCCCAGCTAATATTGAAGAACACATAGAACAAATACGGGAATATGATAATCGTATAGTTGGCTGGGTCTCCCGGATTATGTTCGGCGTGCCATTGAAGCACCGTGATGCCAATCATAGCGCCCATCATTCCAACGGTGCCAATTTGAAGCAGGTTTTTCGGCCGAGTCGGTCAAAGAAGAATATCGGTACCCACGAGAAGACAAAGAGTACGATGCCTACACCGCCAGTAGCGAGATTGGCTGTTTGAGGATCCTTGATGCCACCACGTTCAAATAGAGATGGCTGTATGGAGTTAGATCATTCACACAAAAGGCTCAACCCACTCACTGTGTAGTACAGAATAGAATTGGTTCCAGTTATCTGTTGGAAGAACTGCACAGCCATTCCTAGAACTGTCACTCGTAACACTGGCGTCGTGAACATGTCCTTCCAACTAGCCTCGCTGACGGTATGCTCAAACTCGATCGAGGATTGGATTTCTTGCATCTCGAGCTCTGCTACCTCGGACCCATGCAGTCGAGTGAGAACTTCGCGTGCACACTCATGGCGGTCTTGACTAGCAAGCCAACGAGGACTTGGGGGCACCCAGAACCAGCATCCTATCCCAAGAATGATTGCTGGGAGGATCTGAATTGCCAGCGGGATACGCCACCAGCCGTCAATCTTGAGGAAATTGAACCCATAGTTAAGCCAAAAGGCTACCAGTTCTCCGAAACATAAAATCATTTGTTCGATTGCCACAATTCGACCGCGGATTGCGGGAGGAGACAGCTCGGCGACGTATAGTGGAACGCCTCCTGCACATGCTCCGACTCCGTATCCTAGAATCACTCGACCAATGGTCTAGCGAAGAATCCATTAGTTAAGATCAATATAGTGTATGAACGGAAGCAACCATACTATTTGCGTAATCGTGTATGATGCAGCTTGCAGCACAGCACCAATAACAAAGACAAAACACGCGACGGACAGCGTTCTCTCACGGCCGATAGGATCTGCCAGATATCCAAGAGACATTGCCCCAATAAAACATCCGACATCATAGAGCGAAACTACCGTTCCAGTGACCCCTGGTTGATATTAGCCAACAGTACTTCATCCCGGCTGGTCATACTCACATGAGTTCTTTGGGTGCATCAGATCGATCCATCGTTGATCTGCGACAATCACACCCATCACGCCTTGGTCGTATCCAAACAGAAACGCACCAAGTGAGACAAATACAGTCACGGCATAGAGATATGTGGTATTCCCCGGCCGTACCTGCAGCGGATCAGTGCCTGGAGGCGGTTGGATGAGTTTTGTTTGCTTGAGAAATTCCATGATGCCTATGCCTGAGGAGGAACACCTCTGAAATGCTGCTCACAATGTTATATACCCCCAGAGTCGATTGCGGGGAGAGGTCTGGAGTGACGCAGAACCCCATGGGGAAGGGCTCTAGGGTATCTGTGCATCATTCGGCTTGTCTCCGACATTCAGTGAAGAATGTTGCGGGTGAAAGTTGCCTGATCCGTCTGAGCGGGGAATTTTAGTGTCGCGCTTGAGGGTTAGCGCAGTCCATTATTGCCCTAACTGAGTCGAAAATGGCAATGTTAGTTGAGGGGATATGCAAGCTTGGAGCCAACAGTTAGTGGAATTTAGGCGTTTAGTTAGTGTGGAGGATTCTAATATCGGGTTTGCTATCTGATCTCAAGTGGCAAAGAACTTGGAACCCAACAAGAACTTGTATAAGTATCCCGACCGAAAGACGTATAGCTATGGCTGCTATTACTATCTTCGATTGTCAAGATGCAGCTACCATTTGAATGTCAACCTGGCCTTTTAGCTGTCAATGATGGTCCTTTGAAGGATGTCAAGCCCCTCCACCAGTCGCAGCCAAACGAGCCCATAGAGATACTGCGGCAACGCTATGAAGAAGATGGATACCTCTTTCTCAGGGGCTTGATACCGTCTGCCGATGTGTGGAAGGCGCGGCATGAGTACTTTAATATGATGTTGCCAACAGGAGTCTTGGAAGAAGGAACTCAGCCCGTACAGGGGATCTTCAACCATTCCAAGTCCCCTGAGGAATTCCCTGGTATTGGTGCTGGCGGAGCAGGCAAGAATGGGCGTCCAGGTGGAGATAAAGCTTCACAGTTTGTGGACCTTGCTATAGACGCCCATTACCGTCAATGGTATGCGGAGGACTTTTGTCGGCACCCAGCGTTGATGGATTTTGTCTCTCGATTTACAGGTTGGGGATCGAATACACTGGGTCTTCGCAGATCACTTTTGCGAAACAATATCCCTGGTACTAAGCCTATTGGGGTTCATTACGATCAGATCTTTCTCCGTCACGGAGAACCAACTAGTGTGACTGCTTGGGTGCCTATTGGCGATATCAAAGTGAGCGGTGGAGGCTTGATTTACTTGGAGAACGGTAGGTCAAGGTGTTGCCACTCTGAACTGGATGCATTGACAGTAACGTTCCAGGGGATCCCGTCGGCCTCAAATGCGAAGAAGATTACAAAAAGAAGGCCAAGGCTGCTGGCTTCACAGAGCAGGAGGCTAAAGATGCATTCAACAACAACATGATGGCCACTGGTTTGCTTTCAGAGCTGCCTCTGGGCTTTGCCCGTGAGCACCAGCGACTCTGGCTGGTAGCTGAGTACGAAGCTGGCGACGTTGTTTTGCATAAGCCACATGCTGTATGAGTGTATTCCCCAATTTGCCGATCTCGACTGATCAATATTTAGATTCATGCTTCTACGATCAACAATGACCCTGACCGTGTCATTCGTCTAGCGACTGATTTGAGGTTTGTAGATTCTTCAAAGCCATTTGACACGGTATGGTTTTTCCCCCTAGCCTTACGGATTGCCTTGGACTAACAAAGGGCAGAGATGGAACAAGTTTTATGAAGTGGGAGATGGTGTATAAAATGTAGTTCCAATGCATTTCCATATACGTAACAACCACACTAGCATGGCGTACATAATTGATCTAGAGCCTAAATTGAATTATAGTGTATGGGTTTATCCCGAAAAGTAGTGAGTCAAACCTAAGGCCGAAACGTGTAGTCGAGGGGCTACCCATTTGAACTTATTAGATATGCCAACGCTCCTCAAACGTCTGGACTCCGAATTTCTGGGTTATTAGATGAAACATTTGTCTGGGAACGAGAATCTGTCCGCGGTAGCCGTTTGGTCACACGGACAGATTCCAGAACCCTAATGCAATGATGATAGTTCGCCGACGTCCAAGGACATCCCCCAGCCCAATGCAGGAAATGGCTCCAAAGAGTCCACCCACTGAAAACAAGGCTACAACGGTGCCCTGTGTCGTCGATTTGTGTAATCTCTCAGACGGATAGGCATCAATCACACCCATTTCGTGGAATTGGTTCTCTAAGCTCTGTAGGTCAGAAGTCCCCCAAGCTCCCTGGCCATAGTCTAGGGTCATGATTGCAGGCAGTGCACGCCAAGTATCGCTGCATAGTGGAGGCCATTGCCCCGAAGACCCAAAAAACGTGTCATATAGCGTGTAAGGAGAGATATGGGATTGAGTGCTCGGACGATTTCTCCAGGCCGCGTAATTCTCGTAAGGTTAATCGATCCAACCCTTGCATTGTGTTTGCTTTTTGCATTGCATTATTGGGTCAGCACCTAGGACCCCAGAGAACGTTTCACAGCATGTGCCTGAAGTTGTAATGTCTGTTTGCCTTTTAGTAGGAAGACTCTATTTACCGAGAGCGAAGATGTCAAGACTTATCGCCGAGCGACTTGGCTCTATTTGTGCAGATCGAACACTGAAACAGATATATTCTCCGACGTTCCCTACCGATATACGTGTATTCTGACTAGCAGATGACTGGTAGAATATCGATCGCTTTGGCTAAACATATAACAGGGGTAGTCTAAACAAAATCATACACATTGTCCTTGGGCGAAAGTATAAAGACGATGGAAACATATATATCGACCATCTATTTTCTGATACCCCAACATCCATTAAACAACATAGAGTAATTTAACCAAAAAAAGGAATGACGATAAACATGAAGCAGTCAAATGTGAGGTTAGTATAACTATGTACCAAGTTAACTTATAGCTCTATTTACTGGCGAGCCAAGCCGGATTAGGTCACCCCCGCGGACATGCGGGGAAACTTCCCCGGTCGAATTTATAAGAAACATCTTCGTCATGCCTGGGACTAAGAAGTCCCAATGCTGGTAAGTTGTGTGCTGGATGATCTGGCAAATCCCTGACTGTTGACTTCTAGCGATCCATGTCGAGATCTTCACCATAAATGTGCGTCCATCCGTTCCCCGAACGAGTTCCTCGCTAATGACCTGCAGGTGACGGAATTGTGCCAAACTGCAGCCGATGTGTTCGCACCGGACGCACATGTACACGGGGTCGACGAGAGACAAGGTTCCGACAGGCAAAGGGTCGATCTACGTGCGACCGATTTCCTAGCAATCAAGTTTGGCTACGGCCGCCACCCAGAGGTTGGACCAAGCTGGAATTTATGCGATACGTTCTGACCACCCGGTCTACAGTTGACTTCGTGCTCGAATCTGGTAGCGGAGAGCCAGATGATTTGACCGAGAGACCGTCTGATAATCCGTCACCGGGGAGGGGATCGGTTGGTGATGCCGACTCGGTGCCTCTGTCAGGGAGGCCTTCTTCCACTCTACCGCAATACCATGGCAATGGTCAACAAACACACGCGAAGAGAAGCGGTCGACTCTCACCCCTGTCGATGGGCGATATCTTGGAACGACCACACCAGCCTCGATCCTGGCCATTGAGAGATCCTCAGGAGGCACATCTCTTGCAGCATTTTGTGGACAAGATCGCACCGTTTGTGAGTATCGCCTCTCGAGGTCGAAGGGAGGAGCATTGTCTAATGACAAGGGGTGCGATATAGTTCGATTGCACCGATCGCCAACAGCATTTTGCTGTCCACATCCCGTATCGCGCCCGTCGATGTGAGACGCTATTCAATGCAATCCTCGCCATGTCAGCACGTCACTTGAATCGCACCACCTCTTTCGATCCTTTCGCCTCGGATCATTACTATCAAGCATGTTTGGAGAAATTAATCCCTGCGCTGGATGATCACGGCGTCACAATGGATGACGACTTGCTCGCTGCGACGGTCATTTTACGTTTGCTGGAAGAATTTGACGGTGAGCAGTGGATGTCTCCACCGTTATGTGTCAAGTCCTTTTCTGATGGTGATCGCAGTTCCACTGGCGGGGTCTGACCTTCGTGGCCACTCGTTTGGAACAAAAGCTTTCATTCAGGGCCCGGCCTCGATGACCACGACTCCAAGTCTACGCCAAGCTGTCTATTGGAGCGGTCTTCGCCAGGAGATTTACAATGCACTCAGCCTCCAACAAGCGCCCGATTTCGACATGAGCTCCCTGAACTCCTACTTTAGCCCACTGGGGCCAGATGCTTGTGACTGTGCATGGGCAAACCAGGCAATTGCGCATTGCGCGGATGTCTTGGTATTTTGTTTCGGGCAAGCTCATCGCTCGGCTATTGTGCACGCAGAGCTCAAAGCACAGAATCAGCAATGGAATGAGACGCGTCCTGATTCCTTCGACCCATATTTTGTCGGCGACGAGGTGGAGGTCGGGACCACCTTTCCTGACATTCGTTTCAGGTGTGCTTGGCATGGTATGTACATGTAGTAGGCCCCAATGCGAAAATCGGACTCCCGAAAATGGGCTGATCGCTTCCGATTATAGCAACTGGCAATCAGTACAACGATCTTGCGCGGATTCTTCTGTCTGTGCACGACCCAAGTGTGCCGACGGTTGGACCTTTGCGCAGGCGTCTCGTTCAGGAAGTAGATGTAAGCTGACCAAGCATACTTGCTTCACCAGGGACTGACAGATCACCAGGATCAAATTCGTCAAAGGGTTTGGACGGTATGCGGCGCTGCATTATCCAATGCCTCTGTTGCCCCAGCCATGGTTGTTGGGTGCATGGCCATTCACCTCTGTAAGCGCCAGGGAAGGAATCGCGAGGAGCTGAAGCTAATCAGCCACAGGTGGTGATCGGTTCACGGACCCACAGCAACAAGACCTTTTGATTCATGTTCTTATCCGAATGGATGCGCTCCATGGCTGGCCAACTGATGCGCTCCAGCGACAGCTTCGTGAGACCTGGGTCGTGCGCTGATGTTTCAGGAGAACCAAAGGATTCTTCTCCCCGGGCCGCCTTTACAGTACGAACATGATATGATGCGGTTCTCTAGCACGTAACGTCAAGGAGCAGCATCTCACCCTGCCAACTTTTCCCCCATCGGTAACTTGTATTTAGACAAAGGAATTCTGACCAGGGCAGGATCCAGCCCAGCAAAGTGAACGCGGTTGCGCTACTGTACAGGGGCTTCTACTACTCTATCTGGCCAAGCGTCAGGGTCCATTGTGAGTAAATTGACAACCACTGAGCTCGGGAGGAATTGGCCCCGCGGATCGTCAGGCAACACGGGCACAGAGCACGCAACTGGCGATCTTCTGTTGGTTCTAAGAATAAGTTATCACTCTCGCCACATGAGTTCATGTATGACAATTGCCAGGGTGTGAGCAAAGGCAGATCGAGGGACTCCTCCCCCACCGATTGCAAGCCTCGAAACTGAGGTGAACCATATGATTGGCAGTGAGAGGGGCGAGGCCCGGGAGCAGGCACCAGGAACGGACCAGTCGCAGTGCAAGCTGATGTTGTTTGCGGTGATCAATTGTATGCAGAGGCTCCAGGGGACCCTGTGCTCTTCTCCACCAGATGCACTCTGTAGATGAACTTATACTGTGTACACTTTGCATATGTGTACATAGTATGCGCGATAGACGCAATAGAACAATTTATACAGAAGTAATTACTTCAATCTACATACTCAACATCTAAATTAATATTAAGAAAAACGACGTGAACCCCCTGAGCCAACACTTACGCACCCCTTTCCGCACTGGAGACGCTACTCTCACTAGCGCTGGACTTTCCTCCTTTCGGAATTTAGCACTTCGATCGTCTCTCCTCCCTGGGGTTTCGAGTTCTTTCCTCTTGACTTCATTGTAGGTGATGGGCCAATTCAATGTCTTGAGTTGAGATGGCGTCCATGATCTTACCCAGCATCAAATGCTCGGATTGCGGTTGCAATGTCGAGATCTCGGCCCTGGGGGATCATGTCTGTGTGCAGACTGGCTATCGTAAGTGTCAATACTTGCCATCTCCTGCATCATGCTAATGCCGCGTATAGCCCCTGCGCTCCCATCACCACCTCCCTCCGCAGGGTTAGGATCGCCCGACCGACTGTCGAAGCCAGGGAGAGGACCTCCCCCGCGGATTGATCCATCGGTTGCCAGTATGTCTCAAATAACCATGTGGGAGATACGCAACTAACCCTAATAGACAAAGCATACCTGCAGCCGAACGTGCCTACGCCTGCCAGCAGTGTCGGTTTATCGCCCATGTCGGTCAGCGCTGCACCAAAATCTCCAATGCCACACAGCCCGGCCGATAACAGCTCCGTGATCGACTTGGATTCGGTTTTCTCGTTTCCAATGCCTGGAAACAGGTCGCCGACTCATGTACGGACACCGAGCCCAATGACTGGAGGAATGGCCAAGTCACTACCGCCGATTCCATCGTCATCGTTTGGACTGGGCATGGTGCCAGAGAACATACAGCTGCCCCCCAGTCCACTTCCGCCAGCAAAATCGCCAGCCCCAGAAATGAATCACTCGAGGGGAGACTCAGTGGCCAGCCGCAGCAGCTATGGATCATCTTTTTCTAGCAGCCGCTATGGTGACTCGACAGCGAGATCATCGACAAATAGCTTTACGCGTGGCTTTAGAACATTTATGGACGACACACCACCAGTGCCTCCAGCGCCTCTCCGCACTCCTAACAAGAATGCTTTCTCACGCGATTCAAACATGTCCGTTGTTTCATCCCGGGTTTCATCGCGAAGTGATAGGGAGGAGATCCATGGTGGATTCGACTTTGGCATTCCCACAGACCAGAACTCGACACTACACGAACTCCCCGAAGAGTCTCCCTCTGATGAACACCGGAGCAACGACGAATACGATTTCCAGTCATCTGCGCAGACTCACCTGCATCCCGCAGCAGCAGCGGCGGCGGAGCCAGGTAGTGATGTCCCCAGGAAAAACTCCGACGCAAGCACAGCCAGTGCATTGTCCGTGACAAGCTTTGCCCGTGCCCTTGGTCTCGAAGACCAAATGAACCACGACAGCTCTGCTTCGTCTGATTCGTCTCCTTCCGATGCGCGCAGTGGAAGTTCTATGTCCAGCCTTCCCTCCGATGCCAGCTTGAACCGACACAAGCCCACCGATCCTCTCAATCTAGGACCATTGGTTGAGGAACTACCAGCACGAACCCGACAGACCATTTTGGAAATTCCCGGTCGTCAACGCAGTCCTATGGAGGAGGTCCCTACCATTCCAGCTGCGTACTTCAGCCCAGACTCGCCTACCGATCCTGCCATCGGCCAAGGTGGTCTGTCCTTGATCGCATCAAAGGCAGAAGTAATCCCAACCCCTACTGGTCTGACACCGACTGAATCAAGAGAGCCTTCTCCTATGCCACCGCCCCAGCGATCCTTCACAGCACCAACCCCCCGCCCACCGACTCAATCAGCGACCCGCTCAAAAGGAATCTGCAAGGGATGTAACGAGACCATCACGGGCAAATCGATTTCATCCTCCGACGGTCGTTTAACTGGCCGTTACCACCGTGGTTGTTTCGTCTGCTTCGAGTGTCACTCACCCTTCCAGACTGCGGATTTCTACGTCCTCAACAACCGTCCCTTCTGCGCACAGCATTACCACGAGCGCAACGGTTCACTTTGCGCCGGTTGTCACACCGGTATCGAGGGTCACTATTTGGAGACTGTGGAGCGGAACCCAGCACGGCCAGACCGCCGTCGATTTCACACCGAGTGCTTGCAGTGTCGTACATGTCACATCCTCCTCAAGGGTGACTATTTTGAGTGGAATGGTGAAGTCTACTGTGAACGCGACGCCCGTCGTGCCGCTGGTTACTATCCACCACCTGGTCCTCCCGGCCCTCCTGGCCCTCCTGGCCGCCGACGTCCCACTCTTGCATCATCTCCGTTGTCTCAGTCTCGCGAGTTCCCGCCGGGCGGATACCCTCCATCTCCTATGCCAGGGCAAGGACTGCGCCCGCGTTTTCCCCCTGGAGGCGGAGGACGCTTCCCCGAGCGACGAACCACCAGGCTCATGATGATCTGAGCTGTCATACTTTATTCTTTTTACCCAGGGCTTGCCCTGGGTTGCACATCCTTTGTTCAGCACACCTCAGCGACAGACTCACACCTTGTCTACATTCTTCATTCTTTCTTTAGACCGCGATATACCCTCTGCTATCTCTGACCCATCTGGCTTTCGCTGACCATGGCGTTGACCGTCTGTTTTCATCCCATGTCTCATGGGCTTCCCTTCATCTGTATCCACTGGACCCTTTGCTTAGCACACTTTTTGCCCTTTGCTCTTTGGATGGTATCATATCAACCCGGCGTTCTTCTGCTTTTTGTTATGCCGACATGCTTAATGTATTATTTCATCTCTATCGGCTTGATATCTGGTTGGCGGTTTGTTTCTTGCACAGGATTTACAGGTTTAATGGATATAATGTTTCGTTCACTTCATTAATCCGAAATCGTAGCCATTATATCGTAACTCGTCTGTCGCTATACATGGTGAGATGATATCTATCTATTCCAGCTTGCGTTCTTCAAAATGCACGCGTTCAAGAGGAGGGAAGTGCTTGCGTTTGATGAACCAGGCAAATACGACAACATAGAGTGCCACAACGTAGATTTGCAACCGCTGTTTAAAGGAAATCCGATCCAGCTTGGGATCTGGCAAACTAAGTCCGCCCGAGTGTTCCTTCTCCCACTCGTCGCGGACTTGTCGGAATCGACCTGGCTCATCGGAGATGACGCCGTCGATCTTGTGTCGGATACACCAACGCATCAAGTTGGGGGCATTCACCGTCCAGACATACACTTGACGCCGAGCTGCTTGGGCTTCTTCTAAGAATCCTCGACCTAACGGCCCCATCAAGACCATCTGGTTGATGTTGAAGGATAGCCGTGGCACCTGGAGGAACTGCCTGGCATAGCTCACATCGACGCACACCAGTGAGACGGCATACCGGGGAAGATATTGTGTTCGGGCGGGAAGGTAGCGTGAGGACCAACATCCAAGGACGACTCGTCTGTGCCAGTCGGGCCCAATCCGAGGAATGGGTACTGACTCGATGGTTTTGGCAATCCGTTGCATTATATCGGCGGGCTCATTCGTAAGCTTAGGGGCATTAGCTACTACTTCTAGGACATGCACGGGAGAGGATTTCTACCTTGATATCAAGCAGGACCCAGATATGCTCGCGGCCAGGCTGTCTGAGGTATTCCAACACATCTACCAGCCGGGGCATGGGCTCATGGGGAGCCTGGACAGTGCGTAGAGTCTGTAGATACTCCCAGTCACATTCAATGACCTTCTTCTTCACCCCGTAGCAGCGCCGAAGGCTCGCATCCTTTAAACAATGAGTATGGGTCCCAGAAACAGATTGTATGCACCAACGTGGGACAGAACGACCACTCCATCCCGGGATGTATGAAGATCGAGTTCTAGAGCGTGTGTTCCAGCCTTAATGGCTTCATCGATTGCGAGAAGCGTATTTTCGGGGTATTGACCTTTGAATCCTCGATGGGAGATAGTGTGAGGCAGACGGGCGGACTCGCGGTCAACGGGTGAGTGAAGGAAATGCGCTTGGAGGGATCAGTTATACGGTCAACCCCCGCGGGAGAGTGTCACCAACCTGGGATACCATGCAAAGGCCCTTCCTGGGCTATAGAGGACGAGACGGCCATCTTGATTGTACAAGTTGAGCCCTTGAGGAGAGTTGGGCAACCTGAAAGGTCCTCCACCGGAGTTTGGCGGAGATACCGGCGACCCCAAACCCCGCCAGGCTGAGCTGGCTGCTCACATTGGTGTGGCCCTTTATGCATCTATGCTGCACGAGAACCAAAAAGTGGTGATCAACATCTCCATTGCCCGGACATCGAGCATCGAGTTTCAAATGTTAAGGAGTTCAACCCTCCAACCTTTCCGAGGTCCAAAGTTGCCGCGACGTTCTCCCTGATTACTCAGCGCCTCCATGACATCTCTAAGCCATCTCCAACTTTCTCCATTTGTTGCTTGAGACATTGAGGGCTTCTGTTCTCAACCTCTGAAGCAATTTGAAAATGGCTGTTCAACAATGGATTACACCCTTGAAAGGTCTGGACAGTCTCACACGGACCGAAGCTCCAATGCCTGTGGCAGGCAAAGGCGAAGTCTTGGTGGAGATCCGCGCTGTGTCTTTGAATTACCGCGACGTCGAAGGTCAGTCTCTTGCCAAGCGGAACATGAACATAAAGGATCCTAACGAATTCCTCTCCAGTGACCAATGGCGAGTATAAGCACCACAAAACCGCCGAACAAGATGCCACAATCGTGCCCTGCTCGGACATGTGCGGAGTAGTGACGCAGATCGGACCCGATGTGACGAAATGGAGAGTCGGCGACCGAGTCCTCTCGACCTTCCTCCCCGATCACCAAACCGGCCAGGTGACTGAGAAGCAGCTTGGCGGGAGTATCGGATTGCCTCACGATGGAGTCCTGCAAACACACCGGGTCTTCCCCGAGTACGGCCTGGTGGAAGCTCCCTCGTTCATGTCAGATGTGGAGGCTGCTACACTTCCCATTGCCTCTGTCACAGCATGGATGTCTATCAACGGAATGCGACCAATGTCACAGAATGGGGGAAGCGGCGGGAAGGACGAATTTATCCTCCTTCAGGGAACCGGCGGCGTAGCAATTGCTGGACTACAGATTGCCAAAGCCGCCGGTGCAAAGGGTGAGTGATATCCGATGATGTGCAATGGCGGTCTCTGACTGTCAAGTAGTGATCATCACCTCCTCGTCCGATGCCAAATTGGACCAGGCCAAGAAGCTCGGTGCCGATTTCACTATCAACTACCGCACCAACCCCAACTGGGAAGCGGAGGTCATGAAGTTCACAGAGAACCGGGGCGTTGACATCATTCTCGAGGTTGGTGGCGCCAAAACTCTGCGAAAGAGCTTCGATTGCATCGCCTTTGGTGGACTGATTAACTGCATCGGCTACGTTTCGGGCAAGATGGATACCGACGAGGATCGTCTTAACGTCAACCTCCTAACTCTCCGCCGTATAGTGACCCTCAAGGGCATCATCAACGGCCCCAAGGATCGCTTCGAGGAAATGATTCGTTTCTATCAGGAACAACAGATTCACCCGGTCGTCAACCGAGTCTTTTCGTTCGCTGAATCCAAGGAAGCATTCAAATTTCTGGAGAGCGGCAGCCACTTTGGTAAGGTAGTTATCAAAGTCCAGTAAATAAGATATAACAACAAATAAAGAATTGAACAGTTAAAGAGAAGAGGATTCCTTGGGCTGGCTATTCCCACTTGGGGGGATGATGCCGGTCGCAATTCCCAGTTCTTCACCCATTTCCTTTCCAGCCACAGTCAATTTCTGGCAGTCCTGCAGCACGAAGAGCATCCGCGCCCATTCGGTCTCGCTGGGGTTTCGCCAGCCGTGCATCGTGGCCCGCTGCACTGCGACATCCCCACGATGCATGAGGGTTGGCTCGCCCTCCTCCAGGATCAATTCAATTTGGCCCTCGAGGACCACACCGTAGTCCAGACTCTGAGTCCGGTGAACGACGGCCGTGTTGTTGGGGGCAAAGTCCACAATGCGGCATACGGTTCCGCCAGGGTTGACCAGACCCATATGCTTTGATTGCTGGACTTTCTCGTGCGCCCTGAGGTCCGCATCGTTGTTCAGGTCTGCGGGGAACTGGGAGGTGTAGACAACGTTGAATGCCATGGAGCTTTCGTCCAGCGACTCCCATTGCCCCGCGTTCGATGAATGGATTACTGCTTTCCCTTCGGCATTGTGGCCGGTGATGTGCCGAGTAACACCACGAAGAGGCGAGAGTTGACCGGAGTTGGACGCCATTTGAAGAGAGAGAGAGGAGTAAATAGGAGAAGAGTTCGACTCAAAGTTAAAGAAGGCGGGACAAAACCCAGCACCTCTCGGTTTTATAGCCACAGAAGACAAGTCGACATCCGGCCCCACTGTGTCTCAGCGGTGAGCTCGAACGATCTCATTGTCTGCTGCCGTATTCTGCGTGTTCCTTGCTGCTGTGGCCGTGTTCGCAAGCCGCATGTCGGAGGTCATATTGAAAGATTGGCGCCTGATATCCCCGATTGGGCATTGCGGGGTGATAGACTTCAAGTCCGATGTCCGAGCATAACGCCGAAGATTGCTGAGGTGTGAGTTATCTTGGATGAGAGAGAGGGAGAGGTGAAAAGTGAAAGACATCAAAGATCCCAGGTGAGAGATCCAAGCAAGGATCACGTGGGATATACAGGGGCCAGTTTCTTCTGCATCCCACGTCCCCAACATCCACCTCATGGACCCTTGAAGATTATAAAACAATCAAGTTTACCCCAGAGAACCCCCACGCTCGCTTGGATTTGCGGGGGAACTTCGCGGGGAGATGAGCAGATGAGCGTGGGATGGGAGAACCGTGTCATCGGCAATCGGCACGAAGAGGTGGGCTATGAACAGATTTTCATTCGCTAGGTACAGGGTTTAGGCTCGAACTTCCTATTACAAAAACCAGCGGAATTCAGGAGACGACGGACCGTCTCTCAATCGCTCAGTCGGGATATCCCGTGCTTGGATCGTCACTCCGTCTCGGCGATCGCGTCGCTTGTTGTCCATCCACATGTAAAAGCCCAAGCAGGCGGCCAGACAGGCACCGGCGGCGCCGAAGGCAGCAACGCTGATCAACGCGGGCATATACTTGGGCGCATCTTGCTCGCGGAATAGGTTGCTGCTCACCAAGCCCATCAGGTTAGCCAATGGCACACCGATACTCGTCAAAAGCACACGGCGACCTTCGTGGGCGATGTTGTTGTTATACCAGGTGCTGAGCAGTACCGATGGCGCAGATGTTCCCCAAGTCATCATGAAGGTAGCAAAGTAGGCCACTTGCAGGTTGTTTGGAACGTCGTCGATGGATGCATAGATCATGAATCCGGAAAACGTGAGCAGGAAGCCCAGCACGATGAAAGGCGATCGAAGCTTGACCCAATCTGAAGTGAAGGCGAGAACTAGCAGCATCACTGCTCCACTCACATTCGGGGCCACGGTGTATAGGTTGGTCTTGACAGTGGAATAGCCCAATCCTCCGACAATCTGGGGCATGAACAATGCGACACCCTGCAATGGCACACCAAGGCAGATTTCAATGCACAGGAAGACATAAGTAGTGGGATGTTTAAAGATCGCAATCGCCTCGCGGAACCTGAACTTTTCGTTGACCACCGCACTAGAGTCGACCTGGATACGGTGGAAAGCCAGCGCCTTCTCCTCCTCGGATAGGAACTTGGCCTCGGCTGCACTGCGGGGCAGATAGATGAAGGCAAAGACGGCAAAGAGCACAGTCACTCCACCTTCAATTATGAAGAGGTATCGCCAGTTAGGCAGACTAGAACCCTTGATCTGGAACACGCCAAATGCAATGAGTCCGGAGAAGGCATTGGCGATGTTGGAGGCAGCGTAGAAAACGGCCAGACGACGAGCCAGCTCGCCGCGACGGTAGAAGGTGGTCAGGTAGTAAATAACCAAGGGGAAGAAGGCGGCCTCAGACATGCCCAGGAACCAGCGCAGAGCAAACATGCCACCAAAGTTGTGGGCGGCCGAAGACAGAATCGTGAAGGAGCCAAAGGAGAACATTAGGATTGGCAATACGCGTGCCGGACTGAACTTTTTTCCCAGCATCGAGAATGGTGGTGCAAATACCACAAAAGGCACAAAGAAGATCGATAGTAGGAGATTGTACTCATTGGGCTTGAAGTTGAGGTCTGTCAGGGCATGGGGTTAGTATACAGACTCACTCTTTGATCAATATCACTTACCCTTCGTCATTCCATCAGTCTTTGCATTTCCCAGGTTTCCCTTATCCAGGGCATTGAACAGGTCTATCCAAGTCAGTCCTGATCGAGATATCATGGCACACCAAGCTTACACATAATTGCCAGTATAGGGAGAAGGCGAAAATCAAACTTCCGACACAGACGGCGCTCAGCCTTGTGATCAACCACCCGGGTGACTTCGTCAATGACTCCAGGAGCAGATGCATAGCCGTGTAGTTTGTTGGGCTCGTCAATCCCAATCGTGTCGGTCTTGGTCATGCCGTCCGGCTGCTTAGGACTGGACGCCATATTGGAGGAAAAAGTAGTATAGACAAGAAAATTAAAGAAGCTGACAGCTCCATGTCAGAGGCGAGGACTGTCTTATCAAGGTGACATCCCTTGCTCTATTAGATAAGAATAATGTTGCATCCTGTAGGTCTTCGAGATGTCACCCCCACGCTTCTCCGCATCGAAGGTTAGGGCTGGAAGGGTAAAGATCGCCAAATTCCGACAGTTGCATCCGCAGGCAATTCGTAGTCTTATCGAAGGAAGATAAGTATCTACTTGGCTAGTTCACTTATATGCAAAGTTATCTACAAGAGAGATAAGCATTCCCTTAGTTAACCCCTTTTCTCCTTTTGTTCATCCCATGCTGATCGTGTTTCACTTTTTATTCCTTCACATTCCTTCTAGATATTCTAGACATTTCTATTTCCGGGTGGAAGGCTTGTTCCGCGAGGTTGCATTGCATGACCTCACCACGTAAAACGCCGGATTGAGGGGAAAGCTATTTCCCCGGAACCCCAGGCACAACCCTATTTCTCTGTTTCCTTATATTTCGCTATATTGCAGTTCAAGATGTCAGCATCTGCTTTGTAACATATCAAGAATCCCGTTTATGGTTTTCATTTCAGACGTGTATAGAATCATTACCCTGGTCTTAAGCCAACCAGGGGTCATTTCGGCGAGTGATGGTATCATCATAGAAACATAATATGTAACGTTAACATAAGGAAAGGTGTTAACTTACTAGTATTTACTGACATTACCAGCTGTTCATTTATAGTTGAAGATTTTCATCTTATGTTTATATATTCTCTTCTCGCATACATTCTCATCCACCCCCTGGCCCCCTAGAACCCCATAATCCGACCCGACTGGCTACTCTAACTAAAATCTTCAACTAAGAATATTAGTCACTTCAAGTGACTCACGAATAGTGGATTTACATATGACTGACATCTCGTATTCCTCACGGACTCCGTCATATGGTTGGTCTAATTGTGATATGCGAGCGGCATCCCTACGTGGATACGAGATATACTATAATGTCAATGAACATGACTATGCATTGTTTTTATGAGACTATAGAGGCGCATTGTTTGACAATGACTCAACCTCTGCGAACCTTTGCATCGGCCTGGATAGCCTGGTCGGCACGGCCCTTCCAGCCCTCCTCCCAGCGAGATAGAGCAGGTCGCTCTTCGTATACATCTGCACTTCCCCATTTCATTCGTGCTTGATCAAGAGCACGGTCGGTCTCTCCATCAGGGCAGATGATGTAAAATGATCCCTTTTCTAGACCAGTCCACAATTCCTCGGCTACCTGGCTCGGATACCAGGCTCCGACTGGCTTCTTCACATCTGACTCACTGGTTGGGCCCACATTGCCCATTAGACCTGTCCATGTCCAGCCAGGGATGAGTAGGTGAACGGAGATGTGTGCGGTGGACGGGTCGGAGCGGAGATCGTGTGCAAGGTGCTCAGTCAAACTTTTGATCGCGGCCTTCGAAGCATTGTAGGCGGGATTGCTCCCGGGAGGATTGGTAATACCTTGCTTTGAGCCAGTGACTACGATGGACTTGGCTGCTTTAGACTCTGAGGATAGAAGGAGTGGGAGAATAGCGTCCAGTCCATTCAAGGGACCAAAGACATTCGTGTCAAAGGTCTAATCGTGTGAGCTCTTCGCTCTGAAGCAGAGACCTGGCGTCTTACCTTTGTCCAATATTCCTGATCTAACCAAGCGTTCATTCGACCTTTATCGGCCGTTTGTGGCTTATATCCTTTGCCCGCATTCAACACGACCAGGTCAATATCCGCAAAACTTGCCCCAATCTGCCCCGCGATCTCTTTCCACGCGACGCGATCGGCGACATCTAACACATAGGCTTCGGTTTGAAGTCTGGGATCCAGATCCCTTAGGATATCTTTTGCTTTGATCAAATTGTCATTGTCGATGTCGAGGAGAGCCAAGTGCATCCCCTTGCTCCGACAGAGCTTGGCAATAGCAAAACCAACGCCTGACGCAGCGCCAGTGATCAAAGCGGTCTTTTGGGATTGGATGACGTTACTCATGATGGGTTGCAGTTCGAGAATACAATAAAGTGTACAATGAGTGCGAGAGAAGAAGAAAGAGGAAGAGGAAGAAGAATAATGGGTAGCATGTCATCACGGGGTTAGCGGAGATAGCTTTGAGAGATCCGATGAACTATAAGCAACTGAATATTTCATGTAGGCGACAGTGAATGATATTCTCTATCAAAATCCTGATATCAGAAGAGGACATGTTTGTCAGTTGACTAGTGTTGCAGCGATGAGCCCAAGGTATAAACTGCCCTGTGAAATAGTCAAGCAGGGTTGGGAGGGTTTTGGGGGAGGGGGTTAAGGGAAGGTTGTATATAGCCGCCAGTGGGATTCCCACAGGTACATGAGCCTGTGAATGACTTCTGCCATGTCGATATCCCTGTCGGTTGAACTGCACACACAGTACTCCCCCGCAATTTCACCCGGTGTGGAGTGTATACGCGGGGCATAGCGAAGGGCAATATTATCCACATTAGCCGGAGATGCTTGTTCTTTTGAGGAAATCACCTATAAATGAGAGGCAAAGGATTTAAACTGGAATGGACGTCGGGTGCGTTCTAAAGCATACTACTCAAACATATTGGATTTGACTGCTCGCTTTCATGATGAATATACTGGTTAACCCTATTCCGTATCTGCTTTTTCTGTTTGCACATTCAGTACTCTCTGTGCCAGTTTTAGCACGAAATGACCATGGGAAGGAAGAGAAAGACTCGCATTGGGTGAACATATGGACGGCAATGCCTCAACTGGTCGAACCAGCTAACCTCCCTCCTGCTCCATTTGTGCGTCCCTATTCACTACCTGGAAAGGAATTCATGGCTTGACACTGAAGATGGATATAGAATGGATCCACGTCTGTCTTCGCCAACACCACCATCCGCCAAACTATTCAGGTCTCATTAGAAGCACAAGAGTTTCGTCTTCGCCTGTCCAACTCATTCGGTGTGAATCAACTCAATATCACCCGCGTGTCTGTTGGTTTGCCAGCAACACAGCAAGCAGGGACTAGTGTTGCGCAGGTTGAGTCGTTGAAACCCGTTCGTTTCAGTGGAAATCCGAGTGTTCTGATTGCCAATGGCGGGCTGGCAGTGTCTGATCCGATTAAACTTCCCGTAAAGGCTAAATCTATTCTCATGATCAGCATTTATCTTGAAAACGGACAGGAGGGATTTGCTATTACGGGCCATCCGGGGAGTAGGACTACCTCATACTTGACCATTGGGGATTGGACCGGCGCACGAAATATTACGGACTCGTCTGCTCAAACAACAGATCATTGGTGAGGCCTCATTTCTCAGAACTGATGTAATTTCTCACATATTTCAGGTATCTCATCAGTGGAGTCGAGGCGTGGCTACCTTCTCGATCCAGTGGCTTCGTGATCATCGGAGACAGTATCACCGATGGCCGGGGAAGCACTACAAATGAAAACAATCGGTATGAATGCTTCCAAGCTTGGACGTGCTTCTGGGGTAACTGAACAAGACAGTTGGCCGGATTTGCTTTTGAAAAGAATGCAGAAACATGACTCCACGTCGAATATCGCGACCCTCAACCAAGCAGCTGGAGGAAACCGCATTCTCCAAGATGGCCTTGGTCCCAGTGTACTCAGCCGTATTGACCGGGATGTGCTAGCGCAATCAGGTGTGCGGTATGCCATGATTTTCGAAGGTGTGAACGATATTGGTGTCGCGAGCGCCGATGCTGTCTCACAGGCCGAGATAGACAAACAACTTGTGGCAGCATATAAACAAATCGTGACACGGATACATGCTTTAGGTATCCCTGTTTTTGGGGCTACCATTACTCCGTTCGGCTCACCCTCTGCCTCTGATTATAAACAACCCTATTCGGATCCGGGGCGTGAGAAGACTCGTGAACGAATCAACGCGTTTATCCGGGAAAGTGGCATATTTGATGCCGTGCTTGACTTCGATCGAGTGCTGAGAGATCCCCAAGCCCCGTCTCAGCTGTTGGGGAAGTATGACTCGGGTGATCATCTGCATCCTAATGTCGCGGGATATCAAGCGTTGGCAGATTACTTCCCTCTTGATATCTTCTCTGGCTCAGATTGACGCTCAAGGTGGCGGACCAGAGGTCTATGGAAGTACAGACTACGTCAGCTATACACAATATGTGAAGAGATAGCTGGGAGACTGAATAACGTTGCTCATTTTGTAGAACCATCATGACATAGACCTGACATTTATTCTCAGGTCCAATCATAAATACATATAAGATTACACTTTAGCAAGGTCAGGACATTAACGCTGTTTCAAGAGCGGAAATCCTTTAACCGCGGCGACTGAGGCGCCGCGAGACACTGCGCTTCTTGAATGCGCCGCTGTCCACAAGAGCCTGCTTCCGTCCTGGTCCAAAGTCCGGGGTACCACCCAGAGTACCGAAGATATCGCCAATGTAGTTGGTAGGCTCCACTCCGGCGGAGAACGTAGTGTGCCATCCGTCGAGAATACCCTCAATGACCTTGATTCCAGCGACATATATGTTCTCAAGAGCAGGTGAAAAGCCACCCTGGTCGGCGTAGAGGAGGTTGTAGACGGCCGACGAACCGGGATAGGGGCGGTCAAAGTCCGATGCAGTGCGCATCACGATGATGCGGGAGAAGTCAGTCAGCTTGCGGGCCGACGAGCGGAGAAGGACTTCAAGGGTTGCGTTGTCCTCCTGGGCGGTGGAACAATAGTCACCAGTGCCGTTTGTCAAGATCTTGGTGGTGTTTTCAAATGCCGAGCCAAGAATATTTCCGCTATAGTACACATCCGACGTTGCAACATCGCATTCGAGAACACTCGGGCCCAAGGTAGCGGCCTTGAACTTTCCACTGGGAGTCGCATAGTGCTTGCGGTAAGCCTGAGCGGTGGCCGAATCAGAAAGGTTGGCCTTGCGCGCAAAGTCGGCAGCGATGGTGCGCAGCTCCGCGTTGACCTCGAACACTTCAGTTCCGTAGATGCTGGTGGGGTACTGGTCGGGGTAGTCCGCGCCTTGAGGGATATATCCAGTCGAGTAGTTGCTGTCGAGCTCCCGAATATCAATCTCGTACTGCAGCGCAACCTGAACAGCGTACCGCGCAAAGGTCACTGATCCAGTGGTGGCCTTCTTGGGGCTGACACCGGCAATACCCGCAATGAAGAAGTATGTCCGAGTGAGGTCGAAGAGAGGGGAGAAGGCAACGGAGGTGACCGTGGTCGCGGCATTGATTTCGGACTCACCGGTGATCAGTTGGCAGATCTCGTAGTCTTCGGTGCAGTGGACGTCCGGGTACAGAGGCGACAGACCAGGGAGAGTGATGTTGTGGGCCAACAAGTCGAATTCAGGGATGTTCCACCAGGCTTCAGCTTCCGGTTCAAACTATAGTAAGTTAGCCATGCCACAGAAAGCTCGAGTGAGGCACATACCATGGAGACGATGAACACCTTGGGCGCAATGGGCTCCCGAGAGGCCTTGTGGGCAGTGCCGGTAGCTCCGCATAGGGAGCTACCAAGCAGGAACGAGGCTGCCAAAGTCTGAAGGAGACGCATGGTGAATTGGTCGCAGGGCTTGGATTGAGCTGGTCCTGCGACCACGCCCTTTTATATGAGCGAATCGTGAAGAATCTGTAAAGCGCCTTCCGCGCTAGTGAGACACCATTTGCCCATGAGTGGGCATCTTTAGCCCAGTATAGTTATGATCTGCACCAAACGGTGAACCGCGACGAGAAAAATATCGCCGAGTTCCCGATTGGCGTTTTTTGACGGGGCTCCATTGCTTAGTTCGAGATCCAGGTACCGATATGATAAACAGTGACCAATTGTGTGAGTGTGCTTATCACGGTATCAAAGTTGAGAAGATTCAAGTCGGAGGTTGCCGAGAATATAGAAGAACAAAGCAGAAGATAGGCAACCTGAAAGCAAATGACCAATATCTGCAGATATCAACGGGATCCAGGGGGAGGGCCAGTTCCGTGGTTCCGACCGCACAATCTCTTTCTTTTCTTCTTTTCTCTTCTTCACTTTGTCAGTTTCGCGCTTTTCGAGTCCTGATGCTCTGGCCTCTGTCAGTTTCTCATTAACAGGTGTAGCTGTGTCAGCTACAACCCTAGGGACATTATTCCAATGCAGATGTACTGTTGACCACGTGGACATAAATAGCCTCACAGAGATCCAGGTCAGGTGACCTGGATGACCTAGGCCAGTGACGCCAGGGGCTTCAAGCCACCGTGTGACTGAAGCCGTTGTACGTGGGGCATGACGCATGTCAAGTGCAAGAATAGACTGACAACAGTCAACAGTTGACAGTTGCCCATGGGCGAAGTGCTGATCCCCGGAGATTAACCTCCAACGTCATCTGACGTCACTTTAATCTATATAAAATCAAGGTCGCCTGTTTACATACACTGCCCGTTCTGCTCCATTTGCACTTGGTATCTCTAGTACAAGTCTGCATCCATAATCCTCCTTCCTGTCTATCCCTCTACATCATGCCGTCCATCCACGACCGTATTCGCGAGGAACTCCTCAACAAGGAGCGCGCCCTCTGGACTGCACTCACTTCTGCAGATCCAGCACCAGCAGTCTTCAAGCTCAGCAACCCAGAAGCAAACTTCATGTTCCCTCAAATGGAGATCCTCACGCTTCAGGATGAGGAGACCTTTAAGAAAGCACTTCGCCCACCCTTCCACCGATTCGACGGGTACCAGTTTGAAGAAGTACGAACAATCATCGTCGATTTGATGGCTGGTGTCGTGACATACAAAATTCGCGCCGTGAGGGGGAATAAGGAATACACAGCTACGGGGTCGACAACTTGGAGTCAGGGATCGGATGGCGAGTGGACGATTGCTTCCCACTCCGAAACATTGCTGTAATGGGCTAGGTGTCTACAATTTTGGGCTATGAATCTGCGGACAGATGATCTAGGCGATCGGCGAACGTGTATTTAAGTGATATGGTGCAACGCATCACGAGTCAACGAACCTTTTAATGCCATGTTTGTGAATTGAACCACTTCGACACGGCAGAAAGCAGTAGTGTTTACCACAGTAGTTACCGATCAGCCGTCTAGACTATCGTGATGATGAATACATCTCTAGTGACCTGCATTCAAAATGACATACTTCACTGATTGTCACATCTTTCCAAAGGTACTGACTAGCATTAAATACACTAGAGTGAGAAGGATTAAATACAGTGTACATACTGCTTTTGGGTGGGTCGAGTTCCCACTGCATGCATCCATCATTGAGTGACGATATGCAGGATTCCAATAGCGCAAATGCAGGGGCTCCTTGCTTTAAATTTCGTGTCCTACAGTGCATTTCGTGGCAACCCGACTGTCTGCTACAGTAGACTGCGGACAACATCGCAGGAATGGCAAGAGAAAGAGTCGCCGGAGGAGGCTCAATATATTCGTCCACCCCTTGGTGAGAAATCTGGATGGTTATGCTCGTGAACACTGGCCAAGAAATCCCTTGAGTTAGAACACGAAAGACAATGCATACAAGCCTGCAGCAGGCGATCCACAGTAGTTGATCCATGAGTCAGCCTCAGCAGGGTGCGGTTGTGTTCAAGGGGGCACCAGTCGACCTCTGACCATTTGACCAGAAATAGTACTGTCAAAAAGAATACTTGAGCACTCGAAACAAAGTTCCATTCAGTGTGGCCACTATGACACCCCTAGACCAAGAAGAGCCATGGGGCTTCCGATGGCGATCATCCCCATACTTCATTGTCACGGTCATGGCGGTGGCCTTGCTCACGGGTAAGCTTCCTGCGTAAAAGAATAAGTGCCATTTGACTGAGTTCATAGATGAGTATCTATACGGGTTCCTTGTTCCCATCTTCCCCTTTATCGTGGAGACTCGTTTGGGTATTGATGCGTTGCTCACCCAGCGGATCAGCCTTGCGCTGCTTTCCGAGAGTGCGCTGGTCAGTGTTATAGCAAGTCCAGTGATCGGACACTATGCTGACCGCTCCTCTGAGAAACGAGCCTGGCTATTGTCTGGACTTGCGGGTGCCTTGCTGGGCTCTTTGATTCTTGCTTTGGCCACCTCATGTAGGTGACATACGGTATTTCCCAGCGTCCTCGGATAAACTAACCAAGTCTGCAGTATTTGCTCTTTTTGCGGGGCGGCTGATGCAAGCATTGGGAAGTGCATGTGTTTGGGTTATAGGCTTCGCAACCATCGCCGACCATGTCCCTGCAGATGATCTGGGTAAAGTATATGGCTTCGTGGCTATTGCCATTTCCGTTGGCACATCCGGTGGTCCGCTTGTAGCTGGAATTCTTTTTGACCTCGGTGGCTATTGGACTGCTTGGTCTAGTGTCCTCGTGGTTATTGTATTTGATATCGTTCTTCGGATTCTCATGCTAGAGAAGACACAACGTGACCCAGTGCAGGCAAAGGCTGGCAACGATACAGAGAGGGATGCACTCATTCCACCACCATCGACAAACTCGGAGGATCGGGCAGAACGGCTATCCGTGAAGGAGAAGACGGGGCTCGAATTCTACCTGTGTTTGTTTGGCAACGGTCGCTTCCTCGGTGGAGTCGTCAGCTACTTCTGCTTCGCCATTCTAACCACCAGCTTCGACACGACTCTCCCGCTTCATGTGCGTGACATATTTCACTGGAAGAGTCTCCCAGCTGGTCTCTTGTTTGCCGCTTTTCAGGGCCCTGCCGTGTTCCTTGCTGTTCCTGTAGGCTGGCTGAAGGATAAAGTGGGCACTCGACACCCAACAACGATTGGCTTTGTTCTCCTTGTTCCTATCTTGTGGATGATCGGAGTACCGGGAGACGAGCGCTTCCCATGGGCAAATCAAGGCAACCTGGGTCAGACGTTATACAGCGTTGCGGTTACCTGTGCCGGGGTCGTAATCTGTCTGTTGAACGGGGTAGGGATGATGGAAGCCGCTCGTTAGTTCTGCGAAACTCCGGCCCTATGTTCCATACTAATGCACTATAGAGGCCGTTGATGAGATCCAAGACGCGAATCCTGGGATCTTTGGGCCCAATGGAGGGTATTCTAGAGCAATCTCTGTTGTCAGCGTCAGCTGGACTCTGGGGATGTTCTTCGGCCCCATTCTATCGGGATATGCGACGGAGCAAATCGGATACTATGAGATGAACTGTTTGTTAGGTTTGTCGGTCCCTGTCAAAATTCTTCAGGCTATGTGGGCGCTAATCAAACCCAGCGGGGATGTGTGCCTTATGCTCTGTGGTGGCCTCCTGGAACCTGAAGTCTGTGCCCCAACAATTTGCAAGTAACAAGACTTGAGTGGAGTTTTAGCATGGAAGAAAAACCTGGACAAGCGGCCGTTTGATATTGGGGAAATCCCACCGGTGTTTGAGATTGGAAGATAGAGTAAGTTAGCGAAGGCCCGAACAGGACCCACTGGTTTTTCTCTTAGCGTGAAGAGACCAAAAGTACCGGAAAGGGGCCTTAGAATCAGGCGAGGCAGAATAGAGAAGACCAGGATGTTTAGTGTGAATGGTTGCTACAGTGCTATGAAGTATTTACGCGGTTTCTACACGCTTCGAATATGACATTTTATGATGTTTTCGCCTCGTGACTCTATTATTACTATATTTTCTACATGGAAAGGAATAATATGTGCACTATAGGTACATGGATGAGTATGCAAGCGACTCCACTGTAAGTGAAACCGCGTATGCTAGTATACTTCCGAGGCGAATGGGATACGTCGCAAAGGTTCCAGAAGTCCAGAAGCCCAGAATGCATCCAGTGCACTCCGTATTCCCCGGTCTGAAAGCGGCGGCCTCGGCTCCCACTAAGTAATACCTTGAGACTCTTTCCTAGATTGAACCCCCGGTCTCGCCCTTTCTTTGTTTAAAAGCGCTCTCACTAGACTGGACGCCTCTTACGCCATCGCGTATACTGGACAAACAAGTCACTTGTTACTTTGTGATCGATCACCAACTTGACTGTTCTCATAGAGTCGACTCCACACCGGCAACCACGGATGCAGTCGTGAAATGCCGAACGATCGCCTCTCCCGGCCGAACATTTGGACTTCTTTACTTTTTACTCATATGTTAACATAGGGGGTTGTTGTCTCGACCTTGAAAAATTCATTGAACATTCCCGCTATATAGCTAATCTATGCCAAGCCGCAAAATTTGCTGGACTTTGTGAATAGATTTTTGCACCTCACTTCCCCAGATTCTCCCAATGGAGTCGATTCATCCGCCGCGTAATATCCTCATCGCCGGTGCTGGTATCGCAGGGATCGCCTGTGCTTTAGCTTTATCCCGGGAACTCTCGCCGTTCGTGCCGGACTTGAAGATCACAGTTTACGAGCGACACGACATATTATCCACATCGGGTGGTGCCATCAATCTCACGCCTGTCGCGCAGCGCCATCTCGCTCAGCTGGGGGTCCTCGATGAGTTGGATCGCATGGGATCCGAAGGAGGAGCGGATGTGGATGCAATTGAGCTGTTTTCTATGCGCTCGGGTCGATCTATCGGCTCTATCGACTTCACAGATCACAATGGAAAAGGATTTGGAGGGTACAAGGGCCGACGAGTGATGCGGATCGTTCTTTCAGTCGCGCTGTTGACTGTAGTCGAGCGAACTCGCAATGTTGAGATTGTCTTTGGCAAGAAAGTCGTTAATGGTGAGGAAGACGACAATACAGCCATTTTGCATTTCCAAGATGGAACAAACGCCGTTGGTGACCTGATCATTGGCTGTGATGGTGTTCACTCTGCTGTTCGTACCAACTTCGTCGATATTAATCGACAATCAGAATATACAGGGATCTCATTCCTGCAAGCCACAATCCAAACCGACACCATTTCCTCACGCATCCATTTCCGATCTTCAGCTCTGAATATGTCGCGACACGGCTCAATGCTGACCAGCTATTGCGACCGTGATAATGATCAAATCTTTGCCGCTGCTATCGTTCAGTTCAGCCAGGAAGCCTTGAGTCGGTATCGACTAGAGCCAGGCCAAGATTGGGCGACGCAGAACAGGATTCGATGTGCACTCCGGGAGGAGATGAGAGATCGCTTTGGCAAATCTGCTATTCCCTGTATCCGAGAAATGATCGAAAGTAAGGCCGACTGGATGCTCTATCCCGTCTTCCAAGTCCGCCCAGGAGGCCGCTGGTGCACGGAGCGATCGATTCTGTTGGGTGACGCAGCACATGCAGTATGTATCGCACAACGATTGATTTGCGGCATGCTAACATGCAATAGATGCCCCCGCGTGATGAATCCGCTGCATACGCACTGGACGATGCCATCCTGTTTGCTCGCATTCTGGTCCGCTATCGCTCAGAGCCCTTGTCAGAGGTTTTTGTTGCATATGAAACTCTTCGACGTGACACAATAAATCGTGCATTTAAGGAGTCTCATCGCATGTGGGCTCGCAATAGAGACATGGGTATGTTAGAAGGAAGACTTAAGGAATGGATGATGCCTTTCTTCCTCCGCAACAATCGTGATCAACGAGAAGCAGCGTGGCAGTTTGACGCAGCTAAAATTGCACTTCCCACGCCAGCCCCCAGCGAAGATTTGGTGTCTCTCAATTCCTTCTTGAAGGATCAAGCCCCATGAAGGAATAAAATAGCATTGGGTAGGAATGTGGTGGGATTTAGGTTTCTTTGCATGAACCGGAGCTTTGGATGTTTTAAATTAATGGATACCCGTGACGCAATTGGATCTTCCACAGGCAGATACTGAGACTTATTACGGGGCTCTTTACTCAAATAAAATATTAATCAGATTGATAAAAACGGGTAGAGTCCGATTCAAAGAAATAAAGTCACTTAGTACAGACATCAACGACTCGAAGGATATCCCCGAGTTGGAGCGCTTAGAAGGTCAAGGTCTGACCAGCAGTGCCAACCACAGCAGCCTTGACCTTGGCCGAGCCAACAAGGGTGTAGCTGTAGGGCACGGAGGTCAAGGTGCCGGTCGGAGCAGCGTTCGATCCACTGCCAAAGTCGTTGTCCTTGGCCACAGCATAGCCATTGTCAGTGGAGTAGAGAGGCTTCTTGCTGCCACTGAAGGTGTTGGACTCAACCAGAAGCTGAGCACCATCGCGGGTGTTGATTCCGTCGCTGACATCCAAGAAGTAGCTGTTGTAGATGTGGCCGGTACCAAAGCGGAAAGAAGGAGCGCGAGAGTTAATGTTGTACCAGTAGTTGTTGTTCTGAGTGACATGGAGGTGGCCGGTGTCCTCGGCACTGTTGCTGTCAGAGTGTCCAATAAGCGAGGCCTTGTAGTGGTCGTGAATGAAGGTATTGGAAACAGTGACATAGTCGGCGGCGTGGGTGATCTATACTAGGTTAGTATATGTGATGCTGTCACATGCAACGGTAGTAACTCACATCGATCAGACCGTCATAGTAGTCCTTGTCGTGGTCTTGATCCGACGAGACATCGCAGTGGTCCACCCAAACATTGGTGGATTTTTCTGAAGCCTGTTAGTAAATGCAAGATGATGCCGAGTGTCATGTTTTGCACTCACGAATGCCAATGGCATCACCGTTGTCGGCAAGGACCTTCTTCACACCCAAGTTACGGATGATAACGTTGGATTCCTCCTTGACCAAGCTAAAGTGGGTTAGTATATTCACTTCATACAGGAAGGTTCAACATACAGTCCGAAGCCAGTCAGAATGGCGTTGGAGTCCTTGCCAATGACACTGGTGTTGCTTCCAACACGGACCTGATCGGCGGTCTTCGTGATAGGGCCGCTAACAACAACAACTTTGGCGGAATCGCCCGAGACTGCTGCAGTAAAGGCAGCGTAGGAGGAGACCGTGGTGGTTGTACCACCAGCACCACCTGTAGTGCCTCCATTCTGGCTTGCGTAGCCAGTGGCGGCCTGGTAGAGTGACCGAAGTTAGTGTCTATACCACGAATCCGGCCACCGACTAAGGATACAATACTCACATCATTGATACTTGCACGCTTGCCCAGAAGCTTTGCATTCGTAGCGGTTGGAGCTCCCACTGCCAGAGTGGAGAGACCAGCCAGAATAGCTGTAATCAGCTTGATAGGAGCCATGGTCGGATAGAGAGTAAAGATCGTGAGGTTCCGGAAGGGTTGAGGGAGTGTATGATTCTGTGGATGATAATGGAGTCACAGTCGAGGTCTTTTGAGCAGCTTTATATCCCATTAAGCATCTGCATAATATGCATTTCTTGCACAACCGCAGACTGTCGGCGTTGGTATAGGAGAATTTCCTTGCTGGATAATCTAGTCCAGATTATTCCAAGCGATATTCCACCAAGGTGGACAAACGAGTACTAATTCTCCGACACACCAAGTCTCAAACTGACACTTCAGGGGTCATGAGAATTAGCAGGACCGCATCTACTCTCCTCGTTCTAGAGAGCGAGACTTGGGCACTACCGAAGAAAGCCATATTCTGCCACGGAGTCGGAATCTCCGAGATAGTTTGCATTGGCATTCGGTCTTCACCCCACTTGGACAGTTTGACCTCCTAAAACAGGTGGATGATTTCAGGATCTTTGCATCCCAAATTTCCACAAATTATCTGAAACATGTGGCGATGGAGAGGTGACGAGTGTTGCCAAGATTGCCGGGGTTTCAGCGCCGCGCTTCCATCTTGGCATTCAGGACGGAGAATGGAATGGGATGAGATATTTCCATCCAAACTGTGTTTAGGTCAGGCTAACGGGCCGAAATGATAACTTCAACTCTCCAGGGTGTGACATACTGAATAGTGAGACACAAAGGATATCGCAGGCAAGAGTCTCATCCACGCGTGAGACATGAAAGGAATGATGTGATGCTGTGAGCTTGACAAACTCAACTGTCCAACATCTGCACGCATCGCCAACTCGTCAGAGGAAGCGGAATATCGCCCACATGCAATCGAGCACACACCCTGCAGGACCTGTGGCTGAGTAATCCCTGCGATTTGCGGGGAAACTGGGGGATCACATCATTCGAACTTGTTCACCTCACATTAAGCACAATATCATAGGCGGAATGGCAGCGACATTTTCATCCGTCCCGGTAGTTGATTTTGCCCGGCTGCATGACCCTGTGACGAAGAATGAGGAGCTTTCGAAGCTGCGTGAGGCGATCTTCGTTGTTGGGTTCCTATACTTGACCAATACGGGGTTGGAGGTGCGAAATCTAGTCATTCGATGGAGAAATATACTCACAGGGTGGAGGTAGGGCATCATTGAGCGCACCCATGAGCGTCTACCTGAGCTGTTTGCCTTGTCTCCGGAGGCCAAAGAGGACTGTAACATGATCAACTCGCCATCCTTTCTAGGATATACACGTCTTGGTGCCGAGACAACCGCAGCAAAGACAGATCTTCGCGAGGTTAGTCTGTTCTAAGCCGTCGGATACGAACAAGTATCTAATTATCCCAGCAATTCGACTTTGGCACTCCCGGAATGAAGCCGTGGATGGAAGGGGATCCCTTCTGGCAGAGACTTGAAGGACCCAACCAGGTACGTATACGTTATATGTCACAATACCACCGAAATTAATGTCTTTAGTATCCAGACCACGTTGGTGCAAAACCCCTGGTCGAAGAGTACATCATAAACATTGATAGCCTAGCACAAACATTTGTCCGCCTGGTCGCCGAATGCCTGTCACTTCCAGTCGACACGTTCGATAGTTTCAAGGGGAACATGAGCCGTTTGAAATTTGTCAAATATCCCCCAGCAGCACAAGGCTCTCAGGGTGTTGGGCCCCACAAGGACTCGGCAGGACTTTTCACATTCCTATCCCAAGACGATGCAGGGGGACTTCAGGTGCTCAATAAGAACGGACAGTGGATCGACGTTCCACCCATCGAGGGCAGTCTAGTAGTCAATATTCAACAGGGATTCGAAGCAATCACTGGAGGGATCTGCGCGGCTACGACCCATCGGGTTATTGTATGTTGCTGCCATTCACGAGGGATATGCTAATGACTTGCAGGCACCCACTACCAAGACACGCTATAGTATACCCTTCTTTCTGGGAGTGAGACTGGACTTGACGCTGGATCAACTCAAGGAATCTGCAGCGCATATCGTGCACCGTATCCCGACCTCGGACGACAGAAAGAAGCGCGCCGTAGACGTGCCAAGTGAATTTCTCTCCCCTTTGTATTCCTGTGTAAGTATTATGAGCTTGTTTCAGGGCCAGGACTAACCTGGTCGCAGTTCGGCGAGGCGCATTTGAGGAATCGGATCTTGAGCCACCCTGACGTGGGACAGCGATGGTATCCGGATTTGTATGTAAAGTACTCTCAGCAGACTCTTAGATAGTTGCAATAGAGTGCAATGCAGACTATCGTGACTCAGCCCAAATCGCGTAGATCGAAAGTGGAGATGTTTACCCTGGCGGGGTTCTCTCTTCCACCAACATGCCCACCATGAACTCAGCCATTAAGGCACTTCAAAGCCATCTGACAGCTTCGACTGTCTATACTCCCGACTCAGAGAAGTATCGGGATAGTCTCATCCGGTGGTCGGATACTGGAGTCAAAGATGCGGTAGGAGACACAATCTCCGGGTAAGACGCCAGACTGATGTATTGTAGGGCGTGGTAGTTCAGCCAACAGAGGCGTCGGATATCTCCGTCGCCCTCTTGTGGGCTCAGGAGTACAATATTGATGTGGCTATCAAGGGCGGAGGGCATTCGACTGCCGGCACAAGCTCGAGTGATGGTGGCTTGGTGATTGATCTGTCCCGCATGAAGCAAGTCACGGTGGACACCACACGAAAGAACATCACTGCTCAGGGCGGAGCGACCTGGAAAGAGGTCGATGAGGCCGGTGCAGCTCATGGTCTGGCGGCCGTCGGAGGAACTGTGAACCACACAGGCGTTGGGGGACTCACCTTGGGAGGAGGATACGGATGGCTGAGTGGCCAATACGGCCTTACTATCGACAATTTGCTGTCTGCGACCGTGGTTTTAGCCGATGGTAGCGTTGTTACAGCCTCTGCTAGTGAGAATCCTGACTTGTTTTGGGCTTTGCGAGGCGCCGGGTACAACTTTGGTGTTGTGGTGGACTTCACCTACCAGGCATATGACCAGACTGCGCCGGTGTTCTCTGGCGTCTTGGGATTCACATCCGACGAGCTAGAGGGAATCATCGAACAGCTCAATCACTCTTTGGCACAACCTGATGCGCGCTCTGGAGCTATGTGCTTCTTTGCACTTTCACCCGATGGCTCTCCAATGATTATCGTGATCTGCTTCTACAATGGCACGCGTGAAGAAGGCCAGGAACGATTTGCTGGATTGACAGCCCTCAAGCCAGTGCTTAACACTCTTGATATGACTCCATACGCGGTAGTCAACACCCTACAGAACCCCCAGGCAACTTACGGCGATCGCAAATCCTTCAAGGGGGTGTTCTATGAGCCGCCGTTGGATCCCCAATTCGCTCGAGTGATTTTCGACGACTTCATGACCAAAATCCAGTCTGATGCGGACCTCAAGAATTCTGCGATTATTCTTGAGTTTACCGACATGCGCAAGATTTGTGAAGTGCCACTGACTGCAACAGCGCTGGCAAGTCGCAGTCCAACCCAGAATGGCATCGTTTGTCTGAGATGGACTGATCCGTCCAAAGATATCGAGCACCGAACTTGGGCACGCGAAGTGCAGTCTAAGTGGAAGGCAGAGTTGGATGCCAGGGCCAGTCAAAGTGCAGGATCGAGCGTGCCTCAATACATCAACTATGCAGAGCGTGAGCGCCTTCAGCCCATCTTCTCCATGATAATTGCTAATCTTCTAAACAGCTGGTGATGCTGCGGTGGCCAATATTTACGGCGAAAACCTTGGCCGGTTGCAACAAGTAAAAGCCAAGTATGATCCCAAGAACGTCTTTTACAAGATGCAACCAATTTCTAGTACTTAGGGATTTGCATATTTGAAATATAGCAATCTGAGACGCAGAGTTCCCACGTCCATTTGAAGCTCGATATCATATATTCATCTGGACTGGGATTGACTGTACATAAACGCGAGATGCTCCATCAAATATCTTCGTGATTCAAAGCTTTGGAAGAATGTGGTATTTGACAGCTTTGACCGTAGTCCAACTCTCCAAGGCCTCTTCGCCCATATCTCGACCAAATCCACTTTCCTTGACGCCACCGAAGGGGACATTCGGGCTCAACATTGCCCACGCATTGACAGTAACCTGTCCTGATTCGAGAGCCCTTGTCACGCGATGCGCACGGCTAATATCGTTGGTGAAGATCGCAGCACTGAGTCCGTGATGGGAGTCATTGGCCTTGTAGATGACTTCGTCTTCAGTATCAAATTTGGCAATGCTCTACGTTTCTCCCTTCGCATTAGGATCGGTATTCAACAATACACGGAGGATGAGATGAGTATTGACTTACCGCAACAGGGCCGAAAATCTCTTCACGCATGATTGTAGCATTGTCACCAACGTCTGCAAATGCGGTGTTCTCAACGAAATATCCCTTGTTGCCAATTCGGTCGCCGCCGAACAGTAGTCTGGCCCCTGACTCTTTGCCTTGACGAATGAAGTCAAGGATCTTTTGATGCTGGACATTGCTGACAACAGGCCCCTTTGTAGTTGAAGCATCCAAGGGATTCCCAGCAACGGTAGGGGCATCGGCAGCAGCTTTCTTGTAGGCTTCGATGAACCGGTCATAGATTGAGGCCTGCACATAGATGCGTGAGCCGGCCGCACAGATCTGCCCGTTGTTTGCGGTGATTCCAATGCGCGTCCAGAGCAGCGCATTCTCCAGATCACAGTCATCAAATACAATTGATGGTCCCTTGCCACCAAGTTCCAGACTGACCTTCTTCAAGTTTGTTCTGGATGCTGCTTGCATGATCTTGCGTCCTGCGACAGTGCTACCGGTAAAGGCGATCTTGCGTACCTCCATATGTTCCGATAGAGCCTGGCCTGCGCTGGCACCTTCCCCGGTAACAATGCTCACGACACCGGGAGGAATACCAGCTTCCTTTACTAGTTGTGCAAGCTTTAAAGCGTACAGAGGGGACAGCTCGGAAGATTTGATGATTAAAACATTCCCAGTCACCAAGGCAGGAGCCAACTTCCAGATGGTGATCATCCTGTTGTATATTAGCCGTCTCTATAAGTATTGTCTCGTGATAAGAGGCTTACAGTGGAGCATTCCAAGGCACAATAGCCCCGCAGACACCCAACGGCTCACGATGAGTGTAAGCAATGCCCCCATCCAGTTCGAGTGTTTTCCCATCAATTTTGTCGGCCCAACCCGCGTAGTATCGAAGACAGCCGACCGCCTGAGGAATGTTCATTCCGATCGAATCAGTATACAGAACACCTGCGTCCACTGCCTCCAGCGATGCTAGATCTTGGGCATCGCGCTGAATCAAGTCTGCAAGATTCAGGAGGAGTTGGGCCTTGACATGCCCAGGAACTGCCCTCCATGTGCTGAAACTGGCCTTAGCGCATGCAACAGCTTTATCGATATCCTCTGATCCCGCAGCAGAGATAGTTCCAAGCTGATCTCCTGTTGATGGGTTCTCTACTAGAAGGGTTTGGCCTGTGGATGAAGGTACAAATTCATTGTTGATAAACAGCCCGGTCGGAACTGACAGGTGAGCGGTGATCAACCGAGAGTCAAATGGTGCCTACCAGTGATTTGACGACTTTCAAAGCCGGTGATAGTCAATGTAGACATGATTAATGCTAATCAAGAATGTCTCGAAATCAGAGAACTGATGCATCTTTTGTATCTGGAAGCTCGGAAAGCATTCCGTCGTGCGGAACTGAGGCCAAAATGCCCGCCATTCCCGAGGTATATGATATGAGCGTTATAGTAAAGGAAATCTGTCAAGGTGAGGTGTAAGAGCAGAGATATCATCGAACGCATCTATGGGCATCCATCTGTCAATCCCAGGTCCTTCACGTACTTTTATCCGACCAATTGGGGCTATCAATGACTCTGTAGTATATTACCTCTATTTCTCGTTATTTACGGATCCAGTCTAGTTACGTAAGATATGCATAGGATCTTTGTTCTCATGCAGCATTCGTAAGGTAATATTGACAACAGCTCCTCTTAACCTTCTACAAATCCCCAACTCTGACAAAATGCCAGCTACTGACGCCCTTTGTACAATCCCGCTTGATTGGTTATGATAGCATACTGACTGTAACAGAACCACCTCTCAGTCCTGCTGAGCGCGCCATTGTCAAAAGCTATGGTGGATGGACGCAGTTCATGATGTCTTTCGGCCTCAAACCCTGGGAAAGTGATGACGCGGAGGAGGGCAAGAGAATCTTAAGGCATTTACCAGGAACTCTGAGGAGGATGCAGACTAGTGTGGGAACCAGGTGTCCTAGAAGTTGGGCGATACATATCTCCCCAGTGGCTACCAATATCGCCTGTGCAGCAGCTACTTCGAACAATGACAGAATGTCTTTATGATCTATAAACGTCTGTGTAGGATAATTCTGTAAACATGGACCCCTTCTATTCAAGCCGTATCCTGTTGAAGATCGGCAGAAACAGCCTGGAAATGGCAACTCACTTCTCTACTTTGCCTTCCACAACCCCCAAGCTAAAACGACCACCGCTTTAATCCCTGCTGACAGCCACAGGGTGGGAGAAATTGCCTGAGTGGCTTTCGTCATCCATCCACCAATGATGGCCCCAAGAAGCGTCAGCACAAACGCGATAACCCGACGGTCGCGCTTTTGGTTTCGGATCAGAAACAGCTTCGGGTCAGACACAAGATCACAGAGAAGACTGGTGATCACCACGGTCGGGATCTCATTGAAACCCAACGCGCGACTCGCTACAATCTGACCCGCAGACTGGATGCTGAGAAGAACAATCGGGACTTCTTGATCCCACGGGGGCGCGGTCTGCGCTAGCCGATCGCTGAGCGCACTAGATATGGCACCGCCTTCGACAAGACCAGCGGTAAGGATGATGATGCTGGCTTGCAACATGAAAGACATCATCAAACATCCACGCCGTCGAGCACCCAAAGCACTGTGTAAGCGCGCGAAGAGGAAGCACCCTAAGACAAAGCATCCGATCGATGTGAGCGAGCGCGCCCAACCATACGGACGGGCATTCTGGTTCGATGCTCCCAACCCAACGAAGATTGTGTTTCCTGCTGTCTGTCAGATTTGGATGGAATTCCTTCCGGAGTTGAGGTCATACCGGTCTGCATGGACACAAAGGTGTTGTAAGCTGGGAAGGTTAGTCTCACCCAGATCACACAAGCAGGGATCAGCGTGGCTCTCACCATTGTAGATGGTACTGTCCACAAGTCCTGATGTCAAACAGCACGCAAAAAGAAGAAGGTCGGCATGCTGGGGCTCGAGTTCAGCCTTCAAAGATGCAGCAAATCCTGCGAATGCACCTTTCTCAGTGTCCATGTTGGATGTTGATTGCAAAGGGTGGGCGAAAGAACACGATACTGTCAGAGAGACCTTGGAGGGACACCAGAAAGACGACAAAAAAGACAACAGAAGGACACCAAAAGGCAAAATAACAAAAGTCCAGTCAACGGGGGATGCCTGAGGGACCATTCCTAGCCCTACAAACCTTCTCCTCTCTCTCCTCCCAGCCTGTCGATCGCATCATCTTCGTCAGGCTGGTCAAATGCACCCCAAGACGGAGCCAAGAGCGTTCTGCAATTCCGCGGACATCAGAATATATTAGCGATCTGCAGAGCTCGACGCAAGATAAGGAGGATTAAATTACCACATGTAGCGCCTCGTGCCTCTATTCGCTCCTCTGCGGACCGCAAGCTGGCCGGGCCGTAGTGGCTACGGGATTTTTTCGAGCGAATTTAGTCTCCGATGCGTGCCTAGAGTGCCAAGGATTACTCTCGGTGGCATCGTTTATGGCGCCGAGCAGCTTGGCGTCGACTTTCTAGTCCTGAACTCCACCCTGGAAACTGAATTGGTGTCACTACGGACTCCCACCGAGGGGTTGATGTACAACCCGCCAGTGCTCACTGGGCCTGAGGGCCAAGAGTCTTCTGTTCTCAAATCCAAGCCTCGGGTGGAGATTGAAAATTGTCTCACTGTAAGCGATGATACGCTGTCCACAGCAGCGCTGACGGCGCCCTCTGGCTGTTGATCTCCCGCCCGAAAGATAGTGTCTGGAGCTTGGCGAACTAGGGTTCTTGTGAAACAACCCCGTTGGCCAAGAACCCTTTTCTGCTCAACATATTGCCACCGACATGCGGATCTCCGCTCATGCAAGAGCGAAGAAGAGGGCACGCGTTTGCAGCATGCAGTCATTATGCCAAGAGACCCTAGATTGATTACGCCCTTGCTCAATAGAGCAATTGTGATAGAGAATCTCCGTCGGGGTAGCAGTGGCCGATCACCTCTGAGGCATCTAGATCAATAGACTACACCGGCGCATTGTTTTGACCCTAGTCCATGCAGATATCGACCTCGACTTGAACGCCATTCACACTACTGATTGACGGGAAAAGTCTCATGAATTGCCCGAGCGGCTAGCAACGTGTATATCGCGCAGTGTATCTCTGGTAGTCTAACTGCGCGTGGCTGAGGTCATCTGGCTTCTGAGGCATGGCCAGTACGACGCGAAGGCAAGATAAAGGCCCTAATGAGGTCTTGGCAATTCGGGGAATGTTGCATCCCCGAGAACCCAAGAGCTTTTCGTCTGGTGGGAGTGTAATTCTCTAACATTAGGCAGACTTTTTTGGTCCTGATTCAGTCACCCTAGATGAGCCATATTACTCCGACGCCATTGCACCCAAAAATATAAAGAGAGGCATCTATCTCGGTCATTGGGATATCTTACAAGAATCAGAATAATCAGAACTCCCAAACAACAAAATAATCTCGTCAATCAATCACCCAAGATGACTATCACAATTACTGTTGAGAAGGATGGGTACTATGAGGTCAATGGAACACGCCAGGAGCCGACTGTGTCTCTTTATGTTATTCCTGCGGCTTCCAAGCTGCGCCGGATGCTAAAAGATACGAAAGACCTCATTGTGTGCCCCGGTGTATATGATGGTCTCTCCGCTCGTGTTGCCATGGAGGTTGGATTCAAGGGACTTTACATGGTATGAAGAATGACGCAAGAATGCGGATGCACAGATGCTAATTATCTTAACAGACTGGCGCTGGAACCACCGCCTCGCGCTTGGGAATGGCGGATCTGGGGTTAGCTCAGCTCCATGACATGAAGACCAATGCCGAAATGATTGCCAACCTTGACCCATTCGGGCCCCCATTGATTGCAGATATGGATACTGGTTACGGAGGTATGTGACACGTATAGTCAACGGATGTAGTGTGTCTCGAAAGCATGCTAACTACTGGCTAGGCCCATTGATGGTGTCAAAGTCTGTTCAACAATACATCCAGGCAGGCGTCGCGGGCTTCCACATTGAGGACCAAATTCAAAACAAGCGATGTGGCCATCTTGCAGGAAAGAAGGTCGTCAGCTTGGATGAGTACCTGATGCGGATTCGTGCCGCCAAGTTGACCAAGGATCGTTTGCACTCGGACATTGTTTTGATTGCACGGACGGACGCTCTTCAGCAACATGGATACGAGGAATGCATCCGTCGGCTGAGAGCTGCTAGAGACATTGGAGCAGATGTTGGACTACTTGAAGGCTTTACTTCTAAAGAGCAGGCTCGACAGGCAGTTCAGGATCTCGCTCCTTGGCCCCTTCTCCTAAACATGGTAGAAAATGGAGCAACCCCACTCATCACTACAAAGGAGGCAGAGGACATGGGATTCAGGATCATGATCTTCTCATTCGCTACAATTACCCCTGCTTATTTGGGTATTAAAGCCACCTTAGAGCGTCTGAAGACTGAGGGAGTGGTTGGTGTCCCAGATGGAATGGGACCGCGGAAGCTTTTCGAGGTCTGTGGGTTGATAGACTCTATGAAGATCGACACAGAATCCGGGAACGATGGCTTTGCTGATGGTGTTTGATGGATGTTTTGTAAATATTTTGTTTTGGATTTGTAAAGCAACTGGTCTTTCTATAGCTAGACGTTCAAATTGCAGGAAATCATCTTTCGTGCCCTAGAACTTCTCATCTGAACCAACTTTCCACTATATTTCCTCCAGCCATTGATCTTCCGATTGCCCTTCCGACTCATCAGTCATTGATAGTGTGTCGATTCTCGAAGGGGTTGTTTTGACCATCTCTTTTTCTACCACTGCCCAGTTCCCTGGCTGTAAAATTTTGTAAAGACCAGGCCATACGCTGTACTCCACAGTGTCATTTGAACCCACCTCCTCCACGAGGCTTCGCATGTTCTCATCTCGGAAAGGCATTCGAGGATGACTTCGCCGAAAAATATAGGCACCATCTTGGCACTCCAGGTTCTGTTTCAGTTGGACACACCGCTGAATGAGGTCGCTTAGCTGACTTGTTCGGTGCAATTTATCTGTGACGGAGTAATGGGAGAACCGTTCTTCCACCTGAGTCACGATATATTGTTGTTGATTTTGCAAACTCAGTGCTTCCTGGGATAATATTGCGGTACTCATTGCGCACCTCCAATGACGTGAAATATGACTAGGGTCTGGTTTCGTCAGAGCCCACGGAAAAGGCCATGGTCCAGCTGCTATCACTTACAAAGTTCCCTAACCTCTTGGTCCAGACCACATAGATAGTTGTTCCAAGAAGGTCCATATCCCACCATAAATCGGACCCAAAATGTGGTAAACATTAGTGCCGCGATATGATACTGGATACCGTCTACGATCAAGACATGTGTCTCTTCGTGTAACTGAATATCGTGCCGTTGTTCACCCATTAGATATTCACCAAAATGCACACATATCCAATGTCGGAGGTCGTGATGGAGACGACGAATAGAGTGGCAGGCATCTTCTTCACTAAACGACTTAATCCCAGCTTGCAAGCTAGCTAGTTGGGTCGCAAGGAGGTTGTTTTCTTTTCGGCTGGCGTCTACCTCCTGTATAACGTCTTCAAGTAACTCGGCACGCCGGCGCGCTTGTTCTTCTGCCAGAAGTCCGCGCCTTCGAACTGATTCCGCATGTTTCTCTATGAATTTGATCTTCTATCTGGAGGGTTAGGGGAGGGGCAAGCCAAGGAAAGATTATTTCGGACGAACCTGATGAAGACTTTCAACTTCGGTGCACATGTCCTCAAAGTCCATGTTATCTGATCTCATTAGCACGGTCAAACTTAGACTTAACCGAATGGGTTACCTAAACAAGATCCGGGTAAATTCAACGGCGATTCGGGTGTTCGTTGCCTTCCTTTTCGGTCCACTAACCTCCTGGGCAGTAGCGGGTGAAGATATTGATGGTAAATGACTGGCACTGCGGAAGAAAAAAAGAAAAACAGAACAAAAGGTTCTCAGGAGGCTGCCAGAAAATATTACGTGACAGCTTCATGACCAGTTCTCCACGACAAGGTTTTGCTCCGACGCTCATCTTAGGACCACACCCAAGTCCAATGATATCAGCCAAACGAAGCCACCGCCTTCTGTTCTGTATCCTTGATCCGACTTTCTGAATATCATAATATCATAAAGACTGTTTTGAGTCCATTTCACACTGTCCGAAATTCGTGGCGAGTTCAAGCAATAGGGTCTACATCCAAGATGACAGCCAATGTGGAAAGGCCGTGGCTCATCGTCGGCATCGACTTTGGTACCACCTTCAGCGGGTACGTAAATCTTTCTCTTAGCATACCAAGCTAATCTGCGCAGTGTCGCCTGGGGGATGGACGGGTGCCCGGATGATATTGAGGTCATCCAGACATGGCCAGGAGGTGGAAATAGTAAGCATCGACTATCAATACAGATTTTCCAAGGCTGACAATAATTCAGCCACTTCTCAGAAGATCCCAACCCTGCTGTTGTATGATGGTAAGCGGATGAAATGGGGTTATGAAGCTGAGCAGACAGTTCACCCAGGCAATCAGCACCGACTTATCCAAGGCGTCAAGCTTCTGATGGATGAGGGCCAGGAATTTCGTTATGCCCCGACAAGCGAATCTGGAAAGCTCATCAAACAAATGGGCAAATCAGCAGTCCAAGTTTCCTGTGATTATTTGGCAAGTCTGGTCACCCATGCTCGTGAAATGTTGCGGCGTCGGTTTGGAGCTGCCCTCCAAACCTTTGACTTGCATTATATCCTAACCGTTCCAGCTGTATGGTCGGATAAGGGTAAAAATTCAACCATGCAAGCTGCTCATCTAGCGGAGATTCCGGCGGCCAACCTAACCTTGTTATCTGAACCTGAAGCTGCAGCAGTATATGCTATTCGGACAATTCAGCCAAACACAATCGCGGTATGTATATTTGATTCAACCAAGTCCGTTGGAGTTCATTTGCCTGATTCAGATTAGGAAGGACACTGTTTGATTGTCTGTGATGCTGGAGGTGGAACGGTCGTGAGTCTTCGACCGCATAACTCGCTTAAGAATTTTAGTGACCAATTTTCGCAGGATATCATCACCTACCGTGTGAAGCAAACCGAAGCACTTATTTTCGAAGAAGCCACCGAGGGAACGGTATGAATCGCAACCTGGCTGTGTGTTGCCCCGCTAACACGTACAGGCGCTGTCTGTGGCTCAGTGATGCTAGATGAGCGGTTTGATGATCTCGTCAAAACCGTCATCGAGCAAAAGTCTGCCAAAGGGCTCCCCCCTGCGAGTGCAAGGGCTGCAAAGAAATACTGGCAGGACTATATTAAACCGAAGTACGCGGGGCCTGTGGGCCAAAATGAGTTCGATGACCCTGGATATTGGGTCCCTATCCCAGGAGTATCTGGAATACGGCAAGTAGATCTTAGTGAAGGGCATCTATATCTTGAGAAGTATACACCGTTCCTTACTATTTCAACCACGTAAATTAGATGAGCTGAGCGAAGAAAACAGAGATCAAGTCAAGGAAATTTTCGATCCTATCGTTCAACAAATTGAAGAGCTCGTGGCCGAGCAGAGAAGAAATACCAAAGACTTAGGATTGTCTACGAAGGTGAGCAGTCAACATTGGTTGAATGAGGCTGAAGGATGCTTATCAAGATGGAACAGGCCATCATCTTGGTCGGAGGGTTAGGTGCATCTGAATATCTCTTCAAGTGCCTCGAGGTGTCGTCCGACGGAATTCAAATCATGCAGCCCCCGAATGCTTGGTCTGCTGTGGTACGTGGTGCTGTTTACCGTGGACAGGAAGGAAACCAGGTCGAAGGCTGTATTTCAAGATGTAATCATGGCACCAAGATTCGAGAGCCTTTTGATCCCAAGATCCACGGTGCCGAGTTTCCTCCCATGTTATGTGACTTTGACGAAGAATGGTACGTGCCTGATCAGATGTGATGGTATGTTAAAAAGGTGAGTGCCCCTTCAGTAACAAAGATATGAACTGAGAATCATCGAGGGACAATCCGTGGCCGAGGGTGACCCCATTAGGATGGAACTTTCCCGCGTGTTTGGTCTTAATGAGTCGCTCGTATGGCATGAAACATTGCGGTTTTGTCCAATGGCCACAGCTCCTGCGACTGTGAACGCAAGTATGTCCCCATTCCCCGGGTTGATCACCTGAGTGAAGCTGATATCACAAGGTGTTGCTATTTTATGTGAGCTGGAAGCGGATCTGAGTCGGGTTCCAAGGGAGCTGTTCCAGAAACATACAAACTCGAAAGGAGTGGATTATTACCGTATCTGCTTTGATTTAGTTTTGACATCAACATCTGCGTCATTGTTATTTGAGCTGCAATTCAATGGCGTTTCTTACGGCAGCGTCAGATCTCGATATTGAATTCGACTCGGATGAAAATCGCTTACAGCTTGCTAGTTTGGAGGTGGTATAATTTGGCTTCATTGCTGGGTATTGGCTTCTCAGAATAGCTTCAAGATACGTTGAATAAGAGCAAATCTCATTTATCTTCTCCATAATCTGGATTTTGATCGAGCCTGGGCTGGAAAGCCTCGGGAATGGATATTGGCGATCAGACATGTCTGCTTCCATGACGGAGAGTCAGATTGTGCAAGCCCGAGCCTTTTAGAGTCTCTAGTGGTGCCACAAAGGCCATCTGACTCCAGGAAAAGACCTGATTTTTCCCTCCGTATACAAATACTTCGAAGCGCCCGGCAAAAGTACCATCCACCCACACACGACTACCAGTAGTCTTGTTGGTGGAAATAGTGAGTCGCGATTGCTGAGGAACTTTGACAATCTCATGGGTCGAGGTGGTCTTGTTGGCCCAAATTCGTCCCGGTTGGTTTTGGTCAAATCCATCAGCCTCTGCGACGGAGCGCAGAGGGTAAGGCCATCCATCAGAGGTAAAAGTCAGTTGACCGTCTGGTGATAGAGTAAGGATCGCGTCAGGGGACCGCAGAGAAAATGGACCAGTAACCTCAAGCTCAAGGGTATAGTCCATGCCCTTGCTGCCGTGACCCAACTGGTGCTCATCGGAGTTCGACCGCGAGTCCAAGGTCCATGACAGTAGAGTTCCTGACTTAGATCGGGACTCCCCAATGAGTTGGCGGTCGAGGTTTTGGCCAACAGCTCGAGAGGTCAACCAGGCCATGGATGTGCCCAACTTTCCTTGTTCCAATTGTGGGCCACGGTTACCAGACCATGCTCGAGATGCAACGACCGGAATGCCATCACGAATTGCGTAATAAGCTTCAAGCTGAGTAGTCGCGTCTGGGCCGTTGTCATTCCAAGCGGCCAAGATGGCGCCTTGTACAGCACGTGCATCCGGTTGTTCAGTTATGTTTACTGAATTAAACAACTCGGGGGTCCACTCCCATCCGTCATGGTCAGCGAAATTGAGCACACGGGTGTTGTTGAAAAACTGAGGGTATGGAGCTGGGATGATAGGAACATGGTCGTTCTTCAGGGACATGTAGGCCCACGTGTCTTCAGAGTTGATGATTTGGTACCCATTGCGAGCTAAATCAATTGGATCCGATTGACCGTACTGCCAGTGCTGGATAGTGATACCCTTGTCAATTGTGAGATTCGACGGCTCATATGTTCCCCAGATGCGGATGCTTTTTCCAGATGTCTTTTGGATGAATTGAGACATTTCGTTCACAAATTTCACATAGTCATCGGCAAGAGTGGAGTCATACTCGTCAGCGCCGATATTAACCTCCTTCGTGTGGAACCAAGGAAGAAATTCGGTCCAGATGGACTTCATCAATGGAATGGTGTCCGGGTGGGAGAGATTGAGCAGGTCCCTGGAGTCCAACGCCAGCTCGGGTTTCCATTTGGTGACTGACAAACAGTGACCAGGGCTTTCAATCTCCGGCATGACTGTCACGCCTCGCTGGACACAGTGCCGCTGGAAATCCTCAAACTGGGCCCGGGACAGCGTCTCGTTCGGCCGCTGGACAAGGGGCTGAAGTTTTGGGTCTTCAGGATGCAGCGAAAATTGCGAGTATACCTCGTTCCACGTGGCGTTTGGACCGCGACTCAGAGGGTAGTTGTCAGTCGCATGGTAATGGAACTCGGACAGTTTGAAGAATGAGGCATAGGTGCACAGATCCTTCAAAAACTCCAATGAATACCATTTGCGACCGGCATCGAGCAGGAAGCCTCGAGTTTTGTAGGCGGGCGCATCCTCAACGCGACCGGCTGGGATAGACGAGCGTGTCAGGATGAGCTGCTGAAGAAGCGTTCGCGTCCCCCACCACATGCCGCGCGCACCGGATCCTCGAATGGACACACTCCCATCCTGCACCTGCAACTCGTATCCCTCTTCAGTCTCGCGGCCATCCTCATATGTGAAGCGGTCGGAATGCGGTACACGACCCAGAAACACTCCTGACGCGTTGGGGAATCGGGTGACTGTTTGGAGGTCCCAGGAGCGGTTCGTCAGCTCCTGCAGGTCGTCACGAAAGGTGGTTGCAAACTCGAGGGCCGAGGGAGGGATCAAAGTCAGGCCATTCTGGTCTCTCCATGATGCGAAGTCGGCTTCGAGGTAGATGGTACGGTTGGCTGTGTCTAGAGAGAAGCCCCTACCGGCAACAGGGTCAAGGTGCACTGGGGGTAAAGTCTGCAGCGCACACGCGACAGCCGCGAGGGAGAGAACAATCCACTTCATGGTGCATGATGAATATTGGAATGTCCAACATCATATAAATAGTCAAATAGCGTTACATTCCGGGGTGTTGACAAGAGAACAATGCAAAGCGTGGGGGGACGGGATGAAGTGGAGACAGGTGCCATCGTCCTCTATAGTTACATCTCTTCTCTTCATCTCCTCCTCACAGCTGCGACGTCATCCTATTTGGAACTTGGAACCAAGCCTCACTGAATCCGACATGTCGCGGCCATCGAGCTGTCACTCGTTGAATCTCCACCGACGTCATCCACGGATAGCCATATCTCTCGCAGATCGTATCTCTTGTGCAGCTGATTCTTGATTCCTGGGTAAAATTGGATATCTGATTGACGCTGTAACTGGTCATTTTTTGAAAGCTAAATCAAATGTTTGGATACAACTGGGTCATACGTGTGTATACAGCGCTATGAAGTATTGAACAGTTGGGGTGTGAAAGGACCCATGAACCCTGTACTACGCCTGGTTAGGAGTGTTTTGTTGGCTCTTTGATAACCCCCTTGGTGCTCCAATCTCCTGTTAAAGAAAGGGTCATAGAAAAATGAAACGGCCGAAGACGGGGTTTGCGGGGGACTAGAACTGTAAGTAGAGATACGCGAAATGAACAAGTCACACTATCAAGACTCCGGTATCTCCGGATTGACTATGGCCTCTTGCACATGTAAAGGTAATACGAAAGTATTGCTTAGTCCTGCCCAGTGAAGCGCATCAAGGCGGGCAAGGCCGAGCTTGACAAGCGGAAAACTTTGGCTCTGGCATCGCAGAACATGTAACCATGAGTCCACGAGATGCTTTGCTCGGGTAGCATGAGCCCCATTTGGGGCCTGTACCAGTAGCAGCATGAGATAATTTGAAATTGTGGCAAACCCGATCCGTGACCCTAAACAGGTTAACCATTAGATTGCTTGACAGATAGGGAAGCGACATCAACAACTTACAGGAGTACCAGAACCCCGTAAAATCACTGGAAGTCAGTCGTCTCGTAAAATTCACCAAGATGGACGCACACTTCTCTGCCGCATGTAGAGTGGCCTCGCCCGTCCCGAACTCATCGGATATTGCAATCTCTGGCAAGGATTCAATTTCAGGGAGATCCATAAAGTCGAGCATTGACTCGTTGACAGGCAAGGGTGACGTAGCCGACATATCTTCCAGATCAAAGATGAGCGGCGGGCTGGAGGATCGTGCCATTGGCCTCAACATAGCCCGGTAAACATAAACCACAAGCAACAGGTAAGCAAAGTGGATTGATGTGGGATACGGGGCAAGGCCATTAACAGACTTGCTCCAATTAGGAAGTCGAAAGGTCTCCGGCAGAGAAGAATACCAGGCATTCAACTTTTCGAGTAGGCCACGACCCAACTCCGCCGAGGTACTGAAGTTTGCATTCAAGATTTGCGAGGCTCGTAGTGTGCTGCGAATGAGGATTAGTAAATCAGACCATTGCCGACGAAAGGCACAGGCCGGGAAAGAAACTTACTAGAAGGTGTCATGAATCTCTTCGCCGATACGTGTAAGATTGACGAGGTACCGGAAAGGAATCTCAGTATCACAGGACAGTGTTGAGAATCCTTGTCGAGGGCCCACTAAGAAGTCCCCTTCATCCAGTTCACTCACGTCCCATTCGGCGGGGTGTATATAGGGCGGCCGGCCCATTAATAAACTCCGCCATTTGTCTTCGGCATAAACAGCCCACCACAATCGCCGTCGGAGGCGCTTCTCCCATGCCGGGATGCCCCACATACGGCACTCGATGTGAAGGCCGAGCGAACAAGCCAGCCCAACGATTTGGCCGACAAAGGACCAAAGAAATGGGGTGTCGGCCGTCGTCAGGCGGGCCTCGTCCCTCGGCTGCTGATGAATGTACAGTAAGGCTGCCTGTAGAACGGCTAGGCGGGGGCTGTGGATCTCCTCAGAGATCAGTTCATAGACCATGCGCCATAGCGTCTCAACGGGGGATGCATGGTAGGTGCTCAGAACACATAGATAATCGTCATGGGCGACAAATTGGAAGGCCGATGCGTAAATTGCCGCAAGCAAATGGATAGGAACCTTGTCTAGTGCTGATATTTCTGGCAGCTGGTATGACGCTGTAGTCAACCCCAGCTGGGAACGAGAGATGATCGGCAGAGCAGGAAACACATACTTGACAAATCTGAACTCTTGTTAGCTTTGCATGTTCGCATCAGGAAAAAAGACTCACAAACCAACTAGCCTCCTTCCGTACTCCGGGGGGACTAGATAATTCAGACGCTCGCGTGTTACATCGCCAGCACCAGCCCTAGTCTCAAACTTGATAGCTGTCGTGAGCTCGTCAGCCGAGATCATGAAGTGTACTGGGATCCTTTGGGCAGTCGGCACGCCTCCAGCATTGCGAAAATGCACCTTATAAAAGTGCTTCATCCCAGAATCGTCAAAGCAACAGTGCCTTAACAACCACGGGTCTGATTCGGCGGATGCGCCGAAAAGCTGAGCGTGGCCGTTTTCCAGTTGATCGATGCTCTGGACAAATTGGGCCGGTGGTCGGCCGGATGGTAAAATACCGGAGCCTGGGGACAAGCCATTACTTTGATCCAGGCCCAGGGAAGGGAATCGCGGTTCTTGGGATCCACCCACGCTGGATTCGCGAGTCAAGTCGCTGTTGTATGTCGATGCAAGCGTGGTTTCGACGCTCACGAAGGGAACAGCCGAATTTCGGGCCCTTTTCGGTGGAGGTTTATCAAAAGTACAATCCAACTTGGCCGAGCGGCATCGTTGACAGGCTCCGCCATCTGTTTGACATCCCAGCTTGCGCGCCCGGCATTGATCACAGGGTCGCTGACGTTTTGACCGATATGGCCGAGTAGAGGGAGGAGAAGACATTTTGTCGGCGAACGCAAAAAATGCAGGGTGACGCGCATTTTATTAGAGCGAACGAGTTGGCCGAGATGGAGTTGGCCGTTGTGGAGCGACGTCGACCAAACGGCGTAGGTCATTGACGTCATCCGCCGCCCAACTATACTTCGCCGGCGAAAAGTTTGTATGTCCAAGTCGACAGTAGGCAGGTTATATATCTCTATAATGGACTCGAATATAACTGTATATATCTATTCAATTGGGATTCTAACAATCTTATCTAGAGCACTTCCTCAAAATGCCGGAAAGCAGCCGACCAAGCCGAAGCACCATCAAGTCTTTTTTCTCATGGCGCCGTAGCCAGAACGCGGAGGTCAAAGATGATTCTAGGTCTGAGATTACCCTTGTTGCAGAGTAAGGTATCCCCTGGAAATCTGAAAGTGCGCATACTAACTGCCTATAGCCAGAGATATAAACCACAGAGAGCACCTGAGATCCCTCAGAACTTTAATCGTGAGACACATCAGCCCTAAAACAACTAAGTCGGCGCTAACAAGGAAACAGCGGCCGATATGTGCTTTGGCTCTTGTTGCAGGAATAAATAAATTCATACCGCAATATTATCCGCAATATATATCATCCGGCTTATTCTAAAGCACCCTCTAAGCATTAGTAAAGGCGTTGCAGATTTAGAAAAAAAATTAAATGGCAAGTCGATTCTTAGAGCTATCAAATTGCATTGGATCGTGACGCGTGGAAATAGTTAAGCATCGGTGTGGACGTTGAAGTTGTGATTTGAGGAACTTTTGACAAGTTAAGGGGGGAATGGCTTGGCATACACTCACTGACTTTCAGCGTCGAAATGCTCCCTCTTTCGCGAAGAATGAATACGCATTTGCTTCATCCTCGTTCCGAGCTAACTGGATCGGCTCTAGAAAAACGGGAGGGACTGCACGAACTTGTAACACAAGAGTTATGCATGTGCGAAATGATTCCAAATATATGTTCGCAGGTCTCACTGGAAATCTACGATCGCCATGCCCAATCTCTCTAACCGACTACCGAGCTTCCCATATGAGGGGCTCAGCCGAAGCGGGGACTCGGATGAATGGCATTGAAACATTCAAAACTCGAGTTTCCCGCCTCGTTTGAATATATCAGGGATCTATACCATCTCACGTGCACTCTGTTGTCTCCTAATCGTGAATCCCCTCGTTTCTTACAAGATGATATTTGAACCAGCAGAGAGGACTTTGCTCCCAACCCAGGACCTCTTGTCGTATATTTTCGATCAGCCACCGTACGATCAAGACCAGCCAGTAAGTGGGGCTCTGGCCAATACTGCGAAAAGAATCCACTAAGTTTGGACATCTCGCGTAGATCTATATTGGCGTCCATGACCCCTCGCGCTCTATCTCCTGTAATCAGGCACGAAAGCTAGTACGCCAGCTGATCGCAGGTCTACGGGCATCTGGCCTTCAGCCTGGCAATTGTGTTCTTATACATTCTTTCAATGATGTATGAGCGCGGAGAATGTCTTGGAGACCCGACTGAAACTAAGTCTTTGCAGATAAATTACAGCATTCTTGTGTTAGCTATCATCGGCGCTGGGGGGATTTTCACAGGGTCGAACCCGTCCTATACCCCTCATGAGCTTGTTCATCATATCAAAGCTTCCCAAAGCAAGTTCCTGATCTCGGAACCAGAGATCCTGGACTCCCTCCTGAGCGCAGCCAAGCAGACAGACATACCGGGGGAAAATGTCTGGGTCTTTGACAATCGCGGACAATCTATCCCCCATGGAATGCGATCATGGAACAGGCTATTAGAAGTCGGAGATGAAGACTGGGTGCGATTTAATACCCTGAAGACGTCCCAAGAGACAACAGCAGCGAGACTTTTTAGCAGTGGAACCACCGGACTACCCAAAGCCGTGACAATCACTCATCACAATCTCATTGCACAACATGAACTTGTTCTAGGATTAAATCCTCGACCGTACGCTGTCAGTCTCCAGATTTTACTACCTGGTACCTTGATCGAGGCAGTGGCGGAATTTTGCTGACCGAAGATATCGGACAGATCTCACGAATTATCGCCGTGCCCGTCTTTCATGCATCCGCAGCTCCTGTGGCGCATATTTCAACATTAAAAGCGGGATCAGTTGCCTACATGATGCGTCGCTTCGATCTAGAAAAGTACCTGAATACTGTTGAGAAATATAACGTCACGGATCTTGCTATGGTTCCTCCGATTGTTATAGCAATTCTCATGTCGCCTCTTTGTCAGCAGCGACCTTTTCTACAGAAGGTGCGGCTTGCAGCCTGCGGGGCTGCTCCTTTGGATAAAGGAATTCAAGCTAGATTTCGATCACTGATGAGCGATGGCAGCCCATTCACTCAAGTATGGGGCATGACGGAGACCTCGTGCGTAGCTACAATGTTCCCTTACCCGGAGCATGACGACACAGGGTCTGTTGGACGGCTTATACCAAACCTTGAGGCCAAGTAAGTTGTCTTGATTCCAGTCGTGAAGTTTCGGTCTAACTAATATTTACTCTCGCCCAGACTGATTGACGAGGAAGGCAACAACATCTCAGCATACGGTGTCCGCGGTGAGCTGTGTGTTCGGGGACCTACCGTGACACCGGGATATTTCAACAACATTGAAGCCAATGCTCATTCATTCGACTCGGAGGGTTGGTTTAAAACAGGTGATATTGCTTTCTGTGACGGGTCTACCAGAAAGTGGTACATTGTGGATCGGAGAAAAGAATTGATCAAAGTACGAGGCTTTCAGGTAGCACCTCCTGAGCTCGAGGCTGTTCTTTTATCACACCCACAGATTGTTGACGCTGCAGTGATTGGAATCACCTTCCCAAGTTCTGATACGGAATTTCCTCGTGCTTACGTGGTCCGACGACCGGGTGATTCCGGGTCAAGGCTTGCGGAAACCGAAGTTCAGCAGTATGTTTTGAACCGGCTGTCAAAATACAAAGCACTTACTGGGGGGGTCAAGTTTGTGGGCGCCATCGCAAGAAACCCCAGTGGAAAGATACTGAAGCGAGTTTTAAGGGAAGATGCCAAAATGGAAATTGAAGCTGGGCTTCTCAAGCCCAAGCTTTAATTCCTGATTAGGAGCGAGAACTAACGGGTATCTGATATTTTGCCACTATTATTTCTCAAGTTTGATCCAAACATGAATATTCATCCTCTTCGGAATGGCCATGAGTTTGCCCAATTCGACCCTGAGACGAGTTGCATGATATAAATCCTTTTGTAATTTGTATCACAATAATCTTAGCTGCCTTCATCTCCTAGCGCCGCCGTTGGAGACGGCCCCTATTTGTATCCCAAAGAAGAATCGTTTGGCTATCACGCTTTTGGCGGATCGTCCCAATACTCCAACACAAAGCCGATCTTTGAATCGGTTCAATATTGCCTTTCTATGATAACAATAAAATAGCTTCGATGCATCCTTCCCCGCAACCGTTAAGAGAACTGACAGAAGTGATTAGAATACGACCAAATATGACAGTCAAACCTTGAACACACTATTAGCACCGCCGGGATGTTCTTCAATGAAGTTCGATAGATCATACACTTCTTGGTCGATTGTGATCCAAAGGTCGGCGGCATCATTGTGCGTTGAAACCTTTTCTGGGGAATAAATATCAGCACCCATTGTGAGACAGGGGACACTACAGAGCCTGATGGGTAGATTGAAAAATGGCATAAATAAGTTGTTGTAACCCATGCTGTTCGAGCACGAAATATAAAAATACTCGAGCCGGACCAAAGAGACATAAGGTGACCAGCATGTATCCACATGACAATGCCAGTGACCGGGATAATATGCCATTCCGATGGAGGTATGTGCGCTGCTGGACCTACACAGTCAAATGACCCGAGTTTTCACATGCGACGTGCGGAGGTCGACACCTCCAGTTCAGTATCACCTGCATACGGCCATGTCCAGCCACATCCATGAAAGCTAGAGGATTTCCTGGCCTGAAGTGAGGTTGCAAATATTTGGATTCAGCCAGGTGTATTTATTTATAAAAGCTTTCTCAATCTTGCCATTATATAATATTCTACAGTGTTATGATACCGTCGATGTTAGGTGCCATTCAATACTAGGGAACCATCAATCACTTTTCCAGCGATAGCCAATTGGGCGGATCGGAATAGTATGTAAACCTCCTTACTAAAATTTCCCGAAAACTGTAGAAAGTATCCTAGAAATCGGTTGGGCAGTATGCGCTGCCATGTCGTGTTGGCTTGATTGCGGCCCAATGCTGCCACATATATGATTTGAACCATTCATAAATTCCTCGAATTGTTGAATGTTCCAAAATGATTGCTTTGAAGTGCGTTCCTCGGCAGTTTTACCATCGTGAACCACAAAACAGGCATCTCTCTTAGCTTGGGTCCTTGGTTCTATTATATTGAGAGCGATACAACAAGACTATCATTTGATATTGTAATATTCTGGCAATCAAAAGTTTGTAAACCCCAGAGACCTCGCTGAGTTGGACGAGAGGTACAAGTTGGACAAGTCACCCACAATACTCGAAATATTGACACCTGTGCTTCGCATGCGCGGTGAGATCAAGGCAGTTGAGAACCTCAAGCCTATTAGACTCAGCAAAATATTACAAGGAGGTCCAATCTGTGGATTTGCCTTGTCCAAGCTGCATGACTCTGCCAAGACTATACAAAATAGCTGCTGTAATTAAGCTCTGGTACCCCAGCTGAGGCTCATCCATCTACCCCGCGACTATGACAGCGCCGATCACGGTTCATAATCCCTGCGAACAGTAGTAGATCTCGATCCGCGGAGTGACGGTCTCGGTAATGAGTACCTCTTGCACGATAGAGTAACAAATGGTGACTGTCTAGCCTGATCTGGACGATGCTGCCCGGTCCGCGGTCTTGTGAGCAGATCATATGAATGTCAAAATGCCCTGAAGATCGTTTCTTAGGTTATATTCCGAGTCATATGCAAGTCTACTTCCTTAGCATTCTTTGATGTGTAGACTTTGGTTTCTATATGATGGTCTGGGATTGATCCCGTGAGGAGAGTACCCTATATAACATTAACCTTCGCACACAGGGGAATAGTATGCAAACCATTATCTGAACTCTAACATGATGAACCAAAAGCGCGAGATCAAAGACCAGAGTACCGCAGCAGGTGACAATCTTGAAGATCCTTTTCCCTTCAATGAGACCATCCGAATGGAAAGTGACATCTGCGGTGGGGCAGACCCTCTACTCCTCGACGCATTAGAAAACCCACAGAATATTCGCCGTGTTGTACAGGAAGGCATTATTTTGGCAGGTGGCGCAGTTGCAATATTGCTACAGGTGGCTGCACCTGGGGTCGCGAGAGGCGTGGACGAGCATAGTAATTTCGCCTACCGCCCTGTCGATCGACTGCGAACCACGATGACATACATTTACTGTATGGCCTTTGGTACCCGGGAAGAGAAGAGGATTGTGGTAAAGATGGTCCATATGGCACACGCGTCAGTAAACGGGCCCGGATACTCTGCCGATGATCCCACGCTCCAGCTGTGGGTTGCGGCCACCCTTTACGCTGTCGGGACTGGTCTGTACCAGCGGATCTTCGGAAACATGGACGAGGAGACTGCTGAGGCACTATATCGCGAGTATGCAATCCTAGCCGTCTCTCTTAGGGTTCGGCCCGAAATGTGGCCGGCGAATCGCAAAGCCTTTTGGAAGTATTGGGACCACCAAATAGCGACCCTGAAGATCACGGAATATGCCGAGAGAGTTGCCAAGGATTTACTTTACAACACAAAGGCACCACTGCGAGTTCGAGCTGTCCTACCTCTCGTAAGGCTGATCACAACTGAAATGCTGCCTCCTCGGTTGCAAGTCGCCTTTGGTCTGAAATCCAACAGGTCTAGACGAAGGCTGAACCAGATGATAATGGTGTTTACTACGGCTATATATCCCCATCTTCCCAAATCCATACGCACTTATTCTATGCAATATTACTTGAAGGACATGCGACGGCGAATTCAGAAAGTGATTTAATTGTGAACGGAGGAGCACCGATATAATGGAGTCTTGATGACTTGAACTTCGGTTCGTTTCATGAATTATCTGGATCGTTGTTCGTTACACATTCGCCAATCATACTACGAATTCACAAAATTAATCTATATTTCTGCGGCATAGCTTTGATCTCTTCCATCCGACTGTGCATGTATAAAGCACTTAAAACTGCCGGCCCTACAGAGCGGAGAACGTGAAGCCGAGTTCCGCGGTTATGCTTGTGCGGGGAACTCCTGTTTACTGTGAATATCACAGCCGTTGTGGGCAGTCGTGAACTCGTGGGAGATTACCTAGACAGCCAAACAAATGAGGTTGCTATGATTCTAATGTTCTCTTTCCTCACGATTCATTCCCTTTCTGGTCCCATAAAATACACATGTCTGGGACTGTTTTAGTTGGTTGATGGTTAGGTCCACGTAACTTGTAAGTGACCTCTGTTTTGTACTGGATAAATGTGTGCTATATTCGCAATCATTGGCCCAGTTTGTGAAGTAGTATGAGGCCAGAATGGCATGAAGTTATTTGTCGCTGATCATCCCAAGAGCCGTGCTGAGCTTCAGACCCCACGCCACGTCTCCCTATATCTGAGTGTTCTTTGGCAATTCCACAAAAAGAAGAAAGAAAAAAGAAAGAAAGAAAGAAAGAAAGAAAGAAAACACGACAATACTCCACACAAGTCACACGTCATGTTACGGCGAACAAGAAGAGCACCAAATGCTTGCTCTTGGTGTCATCATCGGAAAGTTCGATGCGATGCGTCAATCCTGGGCTCCCCATGCACTCGATGCCGACAGGACGGTCGCCAAAATTGTACTCTTCGCTCGAAAACAACAAAACAGTCAGAACCTATCTCGAATTATATTGAATACTACGATAACAGATGTGCTGCAGATACAAGACGCCAGAAAACCCAGAAGTTCCTCCGCATCGTGGAGGCCAGAATCAAGTGATATTCAGTCCCTCCGACGACCAGAGCTACTCAGCTCCGATTTCAAGACCCCTAACATCTATTGAGACACAGCATAAAGATCCAAATGGGTCCAGTCCCGCCTTGTCACCACAATGTGCCAGTGTTTCGTATAAAGAGTACGCATTCATTGATTCCGCCCAGTTGTTAACACTGTCGTCCGAGGATACGGTGATCCTCAACGGTAAGGGCTGTCTTGACCTGCCGGATCATAACGAAACCTACGAATTTGTGAAGCATTACTTTAAAAGAATCCATCCACTAGTCCCCGTGCTTGACGAAGCGAAGTTTTGGCGCTCATATCTTGACACAAATACCGGTCGCGAAATATCGCTTTTTGTGTTCCAGTCAATGCTTTTTGCAAGCTGTTCCGTGCGTCATACTCATCTTCAAGCTACACCCTCTAACAGAGCCATAATAGCTAGTTGGTTTGAGCATTCTGCGTCGGTGCGGATTCAGCGATAGGAGAGATGCCCGGGAGAAACTCTACAATAGAGCTAAGGTGCGTATTTCTCTGCCGTACCCCTTAAGAGGGAACGATTATTGATAAACTGCCTTCGCATATAGTTATTATTTGAGCTAGGAACTGAGAAAGGGTGCTATGAAAATGCACAGGGGGCTGTTCTGCTCACACATTACACTTCTGCAGAAGACCCTCAAGCCGGGAGTCAATGGCTAGCAAGAGCTATTGAAAACACCATACGTATCGATGCCCAGCCCTCGGTATGGCCAGAAAGAGTGGAAGAATCACTTAAAAGGCGGCTCTGGTGGTCAATCCTGCTTCGCGACCGAAGTATTTGTATTGGTCTGCGCCGCCGTCCACAAATAACTTCGAGCACCTTCTTTGGGCGCAACAATTTGCCAAGCATAAAAGACTTTGAAGAAGAGCTGCATAACTCTCTTGTTTATGATTATGAAACCAAGCAGAGCCTGCTCATAGCGTTCCGGCGACAGTGTGAATTAGCTGCGCTCCTGACCAACTTGTCCTCTTTGGTTTTTGATACATCGCAGACCCGAAAGCCTTTTCTTTCCTTCATTGAGTTTCAAAACTTAATGTCAAATATCAAAACGATCAAAAGGTCGCTCAGCAACTGGGAAGAATCAGTCCAACCTGTCATCCCCCGGGTTAGGACACCCGAAAGCGACGACGCGACCGCGACATTAATCCATTTGACGATTATGTACTATCAGTTCGTGAGCTCTGTACCACCGTATTGCGTCAGACCTAACTTTCAGTTCTCACAAATTCAGCGCCGCCCGGGTTGATTTAGCACAATACGCGGCGCTGGTATTGGAAGAAAATCTATTTTACGCAGAAGATACCTATAACGACTCGGTCCAAGGCATCAGCAACGACCTGAGAGAGGCTATTGCAGGGTTAACGATTGTGATGGAATACTTCAGTGTAGACAATGACGCTGATAGTCTTCCGTTAAGTGTGTCAGTGTAGTTCGCTTTTTTTTCCTCTTTCGCTCTTTCTTCAGCTTTTGTTTATATGGATAGCTCTGCTAAAAACACTTTTAGACTCGGATATGTTAGCATGCCACTCGTTCTGGCAGCTATAGACCTCAAGCTATCTCCCACGCGTGAGGAAATGAAGTCGAGACAAAAACGTCTAGATTCGCTTGGTCTGATAATTCGTCGCTCTGAATCGCTTTACGACGTGACCGACTTTGTCGCTGTCGGAACCAATTATGTTCTTCAACTTGCTTATGCTACTACACAACATCTCTTTTTGGGTGTGGGAAACTCGCAGAGGCTTTGGGACAGGACCGCGACAAAGGAGCCATTTCCTCAAAAGCATTCTCACCTCATATCCAGGTTAGCTAAACCTAGACAACCACAGAGCTGGCAGGATGCGTTTGTCCGCTGCCCGAGAGCATATCTTTTGATATCGACGACGGTAGACTATAGCTTATCCTTTGGTAGATTGCCATCTGCTTATGACCTCCCTGAACTTGTTCGTGACCTTCCAGCCATGGGTAGTATTGCTGGGCTTCCTTGGACTATCGACCTTTGTCCATCCCTAGGAGGGATATCTTCTGTGCATCAAGCAAACCCGCCAGAACACTTCTCAAGGTTGCGGTTTATTTTGGCGACTGAAACGACACGTACCTCGGAAACTGTTCCCATAGAAAGCGAGGCGAAAGTGAGACAGGGGCAAGAAACCGAACAAAATCACTGCATCTCATTTCCAGGTGTTCCTGCTGGTGACGCAGAACTCCCCCAAGAAAGCTACGTGGAGCACCTCGCCCAATGCGATCCTCATGGAATGAACTTGGATTACATGGAATTCGGAGATTCTTGAAGATGTTCCGGAGCTAAAGCCAAGAGCCAATGCCCTGTAATGGAAATACCACGCCACGAAGTCCAGCAAATGGGCGTCTTGAACTGGTCGGGGGATGCGCAGGCTGCCAGCTACGAGCTGAGTCCAAGTCCACCAACCAGTCCCGTTGGATTATTGCTATTTGACGCACTTTTCCCTGAAGCGTTTGAAGGGAACTGGGGGATCTAATATTCTGTTTGGAAGCGGCAGATGCGAACAAAAATGAAAAACAAACCAATGAATTCATAGCTTTGATGGCGCGCCCACTGCACCTGTACCCCTTCGAAGTGACCTCCAATATTTATCTTTCAGCTGGAGGATCTCAAAAGCCTGTTCTGCCCATAGATCCTCCCAAGGGGGAAGCGTGTAACTGTCGCTTTCTGCTGCAGGTGGTCCCGCTAAGTCTGTCAAAAAGCCAAAGTATTCGCCGAAGTCCGGTTTGATTTCGTGGAATAAAGATGTATGTCCTTTGTATTGAAGTCTTCGGGTTTCCCAAAGATCCTGCTGCTCTGGAGTTGGCAAGGGCGCCGCATTTCTTCCAGCAAAATACCGGGCCACCGCGACAGCCTGGTATTCGTACACACGAAAGCTGATCCCAGCGCGGACTTGGCCAACAAGAGCCAAAGAAGGGTCACCGATCTTGAAGATGTGCTGGTAAAACCCTGCTAGTCTGTTGTTGGGACTCACAGGGTTCGGTACAATGAAAGGATAAGACAACTTGTACCCAGTTGCGAAAAGAATCTTGTCCACGTTCTCCACGATCGTGTTGTCGGAGAACTTTACTATCAATCCGTCCTTATCTGCGAGTATCTCTTTGATTGTAGGCCTCTGTCGGACATTAGGCAATTCCCACGCAGATTGGAGGGCTTCGTTTTGGCCTCTGCGGGAAAGCTCGAGGGGACCTTTCACGATGGCATGGAGGTCTGCGACGAGATCAGCGGACGATACACTGCCTCCGACAAGGACAACGCGCTTGTCCACATAGTTATCCGCATTCCGGAATGCCTTGGAGTGTTCGAATGCCGTCGGATGGAGTGCAAGAGCAGTACTCAAGCCTGGAATATCCGGAATAAAAGGCACGCTATAATGCCCGGACGCAACAATTACAGCATCAAATTGCTCCTCCCACAAATAATCTGCGGGAGAGTTGTCAGAGAAGTGACCGGACTGGCGAAGGGTTAAGATCCATTTTTCATCCCTCTTCTCCACTTTTTCCACGGTGGTATTGAAACACGCAAGATGAGTGTAATCTTTGAATATATCCTGCAGGTACCTCCGCACAACGCGAAATGGTCTCGTTGGGTTGGTGTGCCCAAGAGATCGGATAGATGATGCAGAATTGCGACTGGGAAAAGGGGTGTGCGTAAATGCCATGGCCTTCGCGCCAACATTGCTATCGAGACCATCATAAATGGCTGTACGAGAGGTCTGATCTTCAGCAGCTGGTGACACTAGCTGTGGGAGTTGCAAGGGCGACTTGCTAGGTTGCTGAATAGGCTGTCCCGGGCCTAAGAACGCATCAGGCGTGGGGTCGTAATGCCAGATTCCTCCAACTTCGTTGCGTCTCTCGAAGACACGTATGGTTTGAAAGACGTTTTCTTCCTGTAGCGCTTTCACTGCAGATATGCCTGATGGACCTGCTCCAATAATAGCGACACTTGAAAACCGCGGGGCCATAATGGGAATGGTTCTTCCAAATAGTTGAACTGAGGGTGCGCGCAAAGGACAATAATTGAGTTCTGTAGGGACCACAATATCTTGGTACCTAGTAATCTGCGTTACGGCTTGCAATCCACCTCCTGGCACCGTCTTATACGCAAATAGGCCATGGTGTCACACCACTTGGGTCTGTCGGCATCCTGGCTAAGAGTGTTTTGGGCTTATTTCTGGGGTTAATATTTAATGATTGGATCTTCCCATTTGATGAATATCGAAAGCTGAAATATCACTAACGTTGACGCAATTGAAGGTTTGAATGGCCAATATGTTGAAACCAATGAGAATCCAGATGATCCGACTATATTCCACAGTTGCCATATTTACTCGATAAGGCACAATCACTGGCAATGAAACTCCGAGCGCTGATTCCAGTCCCGCAAGACTCCACATTTGAATTCATGAGGACTGAGTGAGATACCTGTTAAAAAGAGAATAATGCAACACAGCGTCATATTTGGCATTTTAGGGGGCTGTTGATTTCATTCGACAGCACGATGCCATTTAATTTCACTGGGCTCCTGCCAATAGTTTGTCCCGCTTAGGGTAAAACCGAGTTTTTGCAGCAGTCCCGCACTCGTGTTTTCTCTCTCCGTTTCGGCGATGAACCTTTTGACTCCTCGGGCAGTAGCGGACCACTGCATAATTGCCTTGGACGCTTCCTTTACAATGCCCGTACCCCACCATCTTGGAGAGACGCCATATCGTATTTCAATCATCTCGACCCATGATGGCAGATCGAGATCGCCAGGTTCCGGCAATGGCATCGAAGTTGTTGTTGCATCACGGACACCTGCGTATCCTACCCATTCGATGTCCGCTAGGTGGGTATTACTCGGCCCAGCAAGTTGCACAAAGTCTTGATCTTTGATGATCCGAACTCGGTAACATCTGTCTCTGACAGATGTTGATACCCGACTTCGTTCATTTCGGTAGGCGGGCGAAATCTCACAGCGAAACACCCAAACCTCGGACTTTCCAACAACGTTCGATATCGCGTGATTGGATCACGTCACGGGTCTCTTGGTCAGTCCATCTCCGCGCCGGAAAATGATGACCAAAGGCCATCTCACAGAATGCTACGTCTGCATGCAGTTCGGAGTAGAGTGCTCGGTATGGACTCAAATCTACTGCGACTGGGGTGGGAATGAGGACCAATCTCGGAGTGAGGATAGCGAAGTGCCCCACAGTAACGAGGTCCGAGTGATCCATGCTGGTAGATTGTGGATAAACTATACATGAAGTTTGGATCAACAGGGAGTCGAGAAACTGATGTGGGTCACGTGGGTCACGTGGGTCGAATCGGGGACGCAGTCAAGTAGTTCGGCTATAAGATGAAATTGCTCTTCTCAATTAACATGGCTGAAGCTTTTCTCGTGTAGTGGAAACTATATCGCCGTCGACGCTTGAATACTTACAATGTATAGTTCGATGTTTCTAACGCATGAGATATCCCTTTCCCGGCAGAATGTGAGTTCCAGTGCTTTTGGTTATTTCCATGAAGGAACTCTCACCAAATGCAGTTAGTAGCACGTTTCGTCATTTTACTATCATTAGCGCCATTGCAGTATCTCACTGCATTTTGTATCGCTTCGCTCAGACACAAGCCCAACACTAACTTGGTTGGTATAATCGCTATATGTATTGTCCACTGGATTTTGCGAGGTGAGTATACTGGGTCGCAGAGCAGTTATCAGAAACTGTATAAAGGCACGATTTTCAAACTTGGTGTTTTATTTCGTTTTGATGTTCTAGTGCACATAATTTGTCATTTCGAGTCCGTGTAACGTGATGGGGACTATGGGAGTGGGACACTCCACCTGCGGTTTCGTTACTGGCCAGTGACCAGATGAGTACTTATAAGGCGAAAATGTCAAGCCTACACCACATTAATTTATGGCTTGGCGTATCTGTTAGTTCTCCGGTCATGAATAAGACAAAATGTCAAAGCTAGATGACGTGAAATATAAATTGACGTAGCTTCAAATGCCAATATTCAGCTAACGTTATCCTCTACGACTTCCCGCCGCCGTGAAATGTATCCGTCCTGATATCACCATTCCCCTCTAGCAATCAAAAGCTAATCTGTCGAAAATTACACAGCTATTTTGAAAATGAAATCAAGTCGTGAACGGCTGCGGCTGGCCTAACAATTCACAATTTGATTGATCACACCCTCCTTCCACGTACTGGTGAGGTGAATTATTTGCTCAATTCCGAATCCGAGACTGCTGGAAACCAATCCGCCAAGGAGTACCCTTTACCGACAGAGAGGGAACATCAGACACTACGTAGGGTTGTAGGGACCTTGCCCCTTGCTTCCTTCCTCGCTATGTCTCGTGGAGTTCGCCGAACATGCATCATATTGCGGGGCGAAGACCGTTTTGTCAAACTTCATCCAGTTCCCATTACCTGAAGGCTCGACCCAGTTTCTGACCTTCGGTTTCAGCGCCTAATCTAAACAATACATAGGCGGTATGGAGCAGGTGCCAGTCCTAGAGGAACTTAACAGACAGCAGGGGCATTATGTATGGGATTTCAAGCTAGCTCTGGGTTGCTCATGTTGTTTTCTTTCCTGGTCTATGTGATCCCCATCTTTGGAGGGTGGCGGGCCGATGTTTACTTAGGTCAGTACAAAGCAACCATCGTGGAGGTGCTTACTTGTGGATTAGCCCACATTATTCAAGTCATCGGTGCCATCTCCTCCCCTCTTCAGAAAGGGCCAGCAAATGCCGCGTCTCCATTTACCCTCGGTCTTATCCTCGTTGCGTTTGGCGCTATTTTCAAGTCCAACGCCTCGCCTACGATCCTTGATCAACAGCGTCAGAAAACAGCCTATACCAAAAAGCTCAAGTCTGGAGAAACTGTTATCGTTGACCCAGAAGCCACAACCACAAGGACCATGCTTATATTCTACGGATTTATCAATATCGGCGCCCTCTTTATGCTTGCTACCACCTACGCCGAACTATTGGTTGTCATTTTTGATCACATGAGTCATCTATCTGTTGCTCCCAGTTCTTCTAGCAGCTGTTTACAAGAAAATGTACAGGGAGCCGCCTAGTGGAGGATCTGAACTGACTAGAGCATTTAAAATAGCTGTCATGGCACTAGGGCAAAACAAAATATCAGTTTTGGCGTCGGAACTTCTGGGACGCGGCATATCCTACAGACCTCAGAAAGAAAGGCGTCATCTTCTACAGGACCAGAAACGATGTGAATGATGTTGCTAGGACGGTCGGTCAGTGTTTGGACTTTGTCCCTTTGACTTTGCAAATTTGAGGTTGTATACATAAAAGTTTGATACCAATGCGATTGCGGGTTTTCTATATCGCTCTTACTGGCCTGTCTTGAAATAAGGTGCGTATGATATATTTTGGTTTTATCCTCTCTGGAACCTAGACAATGGTGGTATCGGCTTGCTAGCATCAAATCAAGGGGCATCCACGGTTACCAATGGTACTCCCAAGGATGTGACGAACAAATGTAGCGCGCTGACCATCATTGTTGCAATCCCATTCTGACATTTGGGATCTACCCGATGCTGAACCGGGATAGAATCTAAGTGGACCGATCAGCCGTATCACATATGGGCTTTTTCTAGCTATGCTTTCTAGGATTGTGGGCACTATAGTGCAATAGCCTGTGTACTCGCTAACACCATGTGGCCAACTTACTGGTCTAGCTCCTATTAGTATTTGGTGGCAGAATCCAAATACGGTCATTAGGGCTTAAGTGAATGCTTTTCCAATGCCACGCATACGAATTGGCATATGCAAGATCCCCACCAAGTATGAAAGGCTTAGTAGTTGCGATCTTCCCGTTCATGAGTGTTCTGTCGAGTTCCATAGGGGAAATTCTGATTCCCGCTACAAAGGATCCCAGGCTCCTAGGGATTTGGAGATCTCCAACAGTTGCGTTAGCACTTCAAATGGTTATCTTTTAGTTAGATTCAAAGATTCGAACGATGAAGACACGACGGAAAATGGTTCAAATCGCCCGACAGAGATTAGAGGGACCAGAGAACCACCGGTTGTAATGTCAGAAAAGCCATGGCGCTTCCAAACGTCAATCACTGGCATGCGATCTAAGAGCGGATTTTTATTTTTATTTTTTGTAACATTGGTTTTTGTTTTTTTCGTTTTGATCGCCCCCATCCCTTATGGCATTAGGCTGCAAGTACATAGAAAGCACTATAATGTTCAACGTCAGAAGATCCTTACTGCCCCTTTGAATCCAGGGGCAGGAATTCGCCGCCAAGCAGTCGAAGTTCAAATTTTCCCAACTGGGGCTGAGTGGATCCTTGGAGTCGTATCGCCTCAAAAAGGGGCTGGAGGCTCTCGGGCCGCGGCCGAAAAGTATAGGAACAATGGTATACAACGGTGCATTGTAATTATAGATTCGGACGCCGTTGCTGTATGCTACTCTATTCGGTGTAATTGGTAGGACCTACAGCTAACAAAGATAAGGCCACAAATCCGTTGGGGCCGATCTCGGGAAAAACGTTGAAAAAGGAAATGGCTAGTGCACAGTAAATCCATGGATTAAACGTCCACCCGAGAGCCGATTGTCCAATCAGAATAGAAGCCTCCTGTCTGTGCATCAACTTTGACAGTTTTCTGGAACAAACGTGGAAAAAAGGAGTGAGATGGTTCCGTACATCTAGCCCTTTCGCTCTTTTTGAGATTAGTGGATAGTTTCACGGGGAAACGGGAGAAGAAAACTTTTTTAGTTTAAAGGAAA